CCATTCACTTTAGAAATATCGCTTTCTTGTGTTTGTTTGTGAACGATATGATTACATATACCAACTATAGTCACTCTCCTGTACATCATTAATCTGTTTAACATGTTAATGTGTATCAATAATGTGTATTGTATCTTATAGGTCATATGACTTAAAGAATAAACTAATTGAATTGAACTAAAGTACCAATAATTATCAGAAAACGTAAGACAATGATACCCGTTTCAGTTTTTTAGACACTACTTCGCACACCAGATGACGATATTTTGAAAGGGAAATGAACTATTAAAGATGGTTAGTACAACATCCTCAGCTTTACATACAATGCACTGGTATTATGGCATATTACTTGTCTAACCTTGTTGTAGTACTTGACAGTATTAAACACCTAAAGCACACTATAGATTCGTTTACCTATATATTTACTCTTTTATTGTTTACATGGGTTTTTTAAATTCTAATTTTGTCCATTTTGGATCATTGGTTTTGAAATATTCATTTTCCGGGTTTCAGTTCCGATGTATTTTTAATTTTTTTTTCGTTTATGTTTATACGTTCGATATTTACAATATGACCTGTATGATAGAATTGCAGAATATAAGAGTACAAGAAGATAGAGTCAAACCTTATTTAAGTGTACATTCTTGTAGTCCAAATGTTAGCTCACTTTTTTATTCATCATCCTTGTATCTATTTACGATGTTCTTTCGCTAACAACCACTGAAATCACATGGTCAATATATACCAAAATGTATGTTGGGTCTCTCAAAGATTTCAAGCTACACCTCTTATTACTCTCTCGAAATTTAAGGTTGAAATATAGGAAAATTTGGGATATTATCTCGAAAATTCATATTAATATGTCGAAACTTTGTGATTCTCTCTCGAAATTTCGGATGGCTATGTAGAAATTCGGGTTATTTCGTGTTGCCATTTGAATTTTCAACATATCTCGAAATTTTGCATAACTATCTCAAAATTTAGACGAACTATTTCGAAATTTTGTAATATTAATTTGAAATCTCGACATATATGTAATGTCTCGAAATTTTGACTTAAAAACGGAATCCGCTTCCGTTCATCCGTATATTATAATTCAGTTAAAACATATATTATTGGTGTATCAGATATATATTGTATTTACAATCAAACTCGGGTACGCGTGGTTGTGTCCTTGGGCAAGTCACTTTTTTCAAATTGCTTTCGATGGACTACGAAGGACTGTTTTCCAGTAATGTAGCAACCGGCACCATAAATAGATGCAAGAAGACTTTGCCTCGTCTTTACTGTGCGATAAAACCCCAAAACAAGCAAATCTCTGTCCTAGAATAAAGACAGGGAATTATCCCTTTATTGAAACATATACGTACAATTGCGGATGTTTCTGTAGCTGCATAGCAATAAACAATCGCCTGGTATATAATTATGTAATTAAAATGAACAGTAAAAGTATATTCACAGTAAAGATGAACTCAAGTACGTAATGTGGGCCTTCAGTACTTGAAAATGCGCAACACTTGTTCGATTTATCCCGATAGGACAAGATTACACTTGCTTCTTCAGTTATTATGGCACCAATTAGACTATTATTAACTACTTAATATATATCACCCAATCAACATGTCTTAATAGAATTTAATTGGAAATTACTAGAAATGTATATTCTGATCTGGAAACAAACATTGAAATGCACCAAAAGAGGGATTTTTTGCCTTCTTCACCTGGTATTGCATCATTCCAATAAGCAGCTATTTATTTGTGAATACCCGCACAATTGTATTGTCTTATTCATCAATAGAAATACCGTGAACTTTAGAAAAGAAATTCAAGAATCGGGATTTCGTTTTAATTTAAGGAAGATCGTATAAAAGAATTATAGATGAATAACACCTTTTAATACAAATTTAGCATTGGATACTGTAGACACAATTATTATTTATTGTATCATACAGTTGTTTCGTCCTTATAGGACCAGTCGGTGATGCTAAGGGCCTAAACTTTTATTTGAAATTCATTATTTAGATGGAGGAGATGCACTGACCCAATGATTAGATAAATTTCGAAATATTCATGTATCCGATATTTTCAAAACAATGTCAGAAACATATTCTCCTCTCAGTACATATTCTTTAGTGCGAAAAATGTCAGGTCTTTATTTAACAAAGGAAGACTGAAGACCGGGATATTTTCACACAGGTTATTTTCGCTTTTGTCTTGTACCATTATACAAGTGTTTGCCTTACGTTCATTTCGTCTCTGTCGTTTATATAAAATGGTTAGCAAATTTTCGCCTCCATCTTGAATTCTTGAATTTTTGTTAATTTCCTAGGTACTCGTTTTCAACGAATTTACGAACTGTTGAAATTAGCGTAAACAGATTGAGTAATATTAATCTACAAAACCAAGTGTTCACAGAAAAGTTGTTTAAAGAAACGAACAAATAACCCCACGAAAACTGAGCCTCAAAACATAGCTGATTTTACAGTAGGTAAGATTGGTTGGTTAGACAAGGACCTGTGCACTTGTAAATGATAGTGCGTGTCTACATGCAAATCGTACATTATAAAGGAAATAATCCTTCTACAAATGTGATAAGTTACATATCCACTACAGTGTATCAATAATTCATAGTCAAATCTTCTAGGTCTAGGTATACCAGCCATGTCCGCAGACACGAAGGAAACGCACTGATCGAACACGATGTAGAGGTTAAATTTACAACATATTGACCTATATAACAAGTATATATTATCTATACAGGTAAAACAATATTTAAGTCATCAGTATTACCTTTACTAACTTTGGGAAGGGAAAACAAGCTTGAATTGAATGTTATATCAATTTCAATCCTAAAACATCCGCTGAGCGTTGTATGTCAATATTCGTGCTTCCAAGGTCTGGAAAGAACACGAGTTAAACACGGACTTTAAGCTTCTATCTTTTTCTCTGCCACAACAAATATATAATTTCCTTGTCTGTTGTTTTCCTCTGGCTAATAGACCAATCAGATCCAAGTAATATTTAAACTTGCAAGCCATTTAATATCATAATCCTTTTAATGTTATGGTCTACATGGTCTGGATATCAGCCTTGGTTTTATGCCTACGTGTCCAGACAGCACTTGTAAATTATAGAGCCTCGTTTTAGTTCATTTCTCTTCAATCTAATTTAATCCATTTAAAAGATTTCTATCCATTAAAAGATAATGCTATCGAATTAAAAGTATTTCCTGTTACATTTTAATATATCTTTCTTTTTATTTCACTGATTTCATTTGAAAGTAATTTTCTGTTTTCTGCTGATTTGTAAATGAAATGTCTAGTTGATTTATTGCATATTTATTCCTGTGGGCAACTTTTCGAAGTCACTGACAACACTCATATAAGAGTTGGTTTCAAAAAGCCCTAAAGACACTGAGTCACTATGATCCTAGATTCTTATCTCTGTCATTTACAAGAAAGTATGACTAGATTTGCGAATTTTCAAACAGGCTCATATTTCATATTCTGCAATTGCAATTGCAATTTCAAAAGTTTTTTCCTTGTTCGCCTCCAACTAGATTGGTAGTGATGAGAATTTTTAGGAAGTTAATTAGAAATGGATTAACATAACAACAATCAGTTGTTTCCCCTTTATTTTCAAATAACACGTACAATCAAATTGTAAATTATGTCGTTGATAAGGACACATTTTATATACTTAAAAAATCGACAATTTGATTATAGAGACGGATTGATACTTTAAAATAAACACTGGATAAATAAAGGCTCGTCGATTGCGGAAATTATTCTCAGGCGTATAGGTTATCAAAATCGCGAAATTAACACCCGCTGAAATAACCACGTTAACAGTAAGTGCTAAGCATAAAGTTCCGTATACGGTATGTGATCACTTTGTATCACTGCAACATTCCGAAAAAATGAAGTCATAAATAAAATTAAATGCCCTGTTGTAATGTATCTTTGTCTTTTCTCTTACTGTTTAACAGTTCTCTGTCATGGGCACGAATATGCTTTATGAATGCTATGTATTTCATTGACAATTCAAGAAAATACACTTACTAAACACATACAGGAGGGTTCATCTCATACACATGGACATTTGTCTAAAATCTTACTTATGTTACTATATTTAGAGTGCAATGTAATTATTAGCCAACACATTACGAATAGTTTCTCGAAAAGCAAAATAGAATTGTCCGAGAAAAGTAATAAACTTATGGTTCAAATATAGACCTTAACATAGTGTCTCAACCAATGAGGTTCCATTGCTCACTGAAATCAATAGTCACGCCTTAACGTTGCACTTACATACAAAGTGTGATAAAGACTTCTACTGCACTAGCAACCAGAGTAACCGACCTTTGTAAGACAAACATATCACAGTGTACACAGTTCCCTATGACTAAGGCTCATAGTAAATGCACTCTGATTACATAATCTTTTTTCTTTCTTCAGACATATTTTATCACTTACCCGTGTATTTGTTAAAGCTGAACGTAAAATATTGACATTGTCAGAAAGTCTGTGTCTCCGATTCTGCTTGTGTAAATGTAAATGTATACACAGCGCCTGATTAAGTTAAACTTGTCTTTGTTTAAAACCGTTGCTAAAGTGTCCACCCCCACCCCCACCCCCCCCCCCCCCCCACCCCACCCCCCAAAAAAAATTTAAGTATGGAATAATGTGTGAAGTTCCAAACACACCTCATACTGATCAGCAATATCACAGAGGTAATTTCTCTCTGGGAATGTGTAGCTTACGTTACTCTGTATATGTGCAAACCCTGCGGGGTAGTCGGGTAGCGAGACTTTATCGCTGGTCCACAACCACCGCTTCACACTTTGAGGAAGTGAGGCATAACGAGCAGGATGGCTGTGGTTTTGTGATGTGTATATTGTGTAAAACTTAAGCGTGGCTGGACTTATACTATTTTTTGTTCAATTTGGTATAAAAACCAACTTGAAACTGAACAATATATATAGCTGTGATCATCTTACAATGGGATTATTGAGGAGAGTATTCTGGATACGAAATACAAAGTGGCAGGAAAAAATATTTATTCTAACACTCCTAATGGTAGTTTTCGTAACATGCCTTATCAATCTTCTACCTCAATATTTTGTGCAACAGCTGGAACCAAGTGTGAAGATTAATAATTTCATTATAAGGAAGAAATTTGCACCCATTAATGATAATACGGATTATGTCACTCAAATTCATTCGAAACAAACAAACGAAACAAGTTATTGTTTAGATTATTCGAAACCAATGACAAGAACTAATTTCAAAGTTGGATTTGACAGAACAGAAAATCCACTTCACCCTATTATGTACTTTCCTGAAGACAACATCAGTGAAGAGGAGAAACGTCGGATATTGCGGCTACTTCCGGAAGGTTTCCTCCACCCCGATTCTGAATCGGATCGAGTTTACGAACAGCTTGAACATGTACCAAGAACTTATTCAAATAATTCTGATATCAAAGTAGTATATATATGGCACCTGGAACAATGGAGAAATGTTCCAACGGGCACGGAATTCTTTAAACACTGTAAGGTCAACCGGTGTAGTTTAACACACAAGAGAAGTGCGGAGGCTACTGCCGATGCTGTGGTATTTGCGAATTCCGGACATTTACCGAAATCACCACCATTCAAAAAATCGTCACCCAAACAAATTGCCATTCTAAATATCAACGAGAGTCCTGATAGATCATGGTCAATGGAAAATTATAGAAACTTTTTTAACTGGACCAATACGTATCGAGTAGACTCAACTATTTATGACCCGTATTTCAAAATCGGGCGAGATTGTTGGAAGCCTCCTGTTATTCCGAATGCCGAACGGAATTTCGCCAAAGGCCGGACGAAAAAGGTTGCTTGGATGGTTTCTAACTGTCATATCGTAAAGAGTGGGCGTATGGCGTATGCAAAAGAATTAAGCAAGTATATTGAAGTGGATATTTACGGGGCATGTGGTACAATGTCATGTCCGGCATCTAAACATCGAGAATGTGTCGAAATGACGAGGCAGAATTACAAGTTCTACCTTTCGTTCGAGAATCACAAATGTCATGATTATTTAACGGAGAAGGTGAAGAATGCATACGAGTAAGTTACCATTAATTTTGATAAGTGAAAACTATCTCATTAAATAGAGGTCAAACTTTACACAATGAGGAAATATTATTTGATAAAGCAATATCTCTTTCAATTGTCATAATCTATTTCGGTAGTTATACAGTATTTGTCAAACTAACATGGTATTTTTATGTTGAAAAAACACGTTGGAAATAGACAAGATACTTTAAGAATCACCCGCGCAAAAAGACATGTTGTATAGAAATATACCTACCACGTGTTAAAAGAAATACAGTTTGAACATTGAAATGATAATATCTTATAAGCGACTGGCTGAAAATTCTTTAGAATTATTGACCTATATTTTTTGTTACATGGTTGGTTGGTTTTGTCGTCTCCGTGACTCCTCCGGTGTGCCGGGTATCTCCTCACCAACGAAATCAGTCTTGCGTGGGTGATAAACGGGGTTCAAAGAGGGGGGAGATTTATAGTAAGTTTCATGAAATACGAATAATTCCCCACCCAAGGTTACAAAGATTTTTGTTTAATATTCCATTAATTATCTTAGATTTAAGAAAGAAATATTTCATTTACGTTTAAGCAGATGTAAAAACCGCATTACAATGTACGAAGACTCTGGCCATTATTTACAATCCCTTGCAAACATAAAATCACCTTCCAGTATACCATTAGAGACAATTCACGCTATCTGGTGTGGTACTATAATTTATATATTAAACGCCGGAAGATAACGTGGCCAGTTTGATAGGTTAAAGACGTTAGATAGAAATACATAAATACCAAAAGTAACGGTCTATTTCAGTGTCTCACTATCTAATGTGTTTGTTTAAGGGTTAATAAGACCATTTTCGTGGGGATCTATCTTTATTGAATTCGTGGGTACTCATAATCCGTGAATTTATGAGTCCATGAACTGCTAAAGTAAGTGTAGGTAGACTTACAGAGCTATCTCTAACCACAACAACGCAAATATAACGAATTCACTGAAAATCCTTTTAAAACCTCTTGTTAACTTATGAATTGACTGGTACATAAACCCTTTCCACGTTTTGCTACTGGAGCGATATATTTAGAAAAAAAAACAGTGCGTAAAAGGAAAGGGAGAACGGTGTGGTTTACCTGTAGTAAGGCTTACCTTTAGTAATGTTTACCTTCAGTAGGATTTACCTTCAGTGAGGTTTACCTGTATAAGGGTTTACCTGTTGTCTAGATCGGAATGGTTCTTTATCGAGAGCGTTCAGACATTAGGTATTACGGGAGATCCATATCTTGTAACACGTTTTAACATATCACCATTACAGTATAATATATGTAACTGAAGGCTTGGTGGTTAGAAATATCAAAGAACAGTCAATATCGATAATAATTGCCCAAAGCTACGTATCTCATCGCCCATGTTTACTCAATACTGCTATTCAAGCCAGTCTTATAGTATATGTCTTCGAATGTTCATATCGTGACTGTTAATGTTTGTTACCGTATATTAATATCTATGTATCGTCATACATCTTGAAAAAAAACAAAGTTGATGACATATAGAAAAGAAACAAAGTTGATGAATCGAAAACCTGTTCCAGATCGCGAAGTCAACGGTTTACTGGTCAAGCATTTTATGTGATTTCTGAAGTGGATTATCAACCTATCACTGGGCTTACTGTTTAGTAAGGAGAAGAGGGAGAGGGGAACAATGATATTCTCTCCTGTACTTACCAGTGTAGTGTTTGCTATTAATGTTACAAGAAAAAATGTCGAGTTTTAAAGTTAAGGTTATTTAAAGAACACAGAAGATCATATTAAATGCAGTTTCATTGCGTTGTGTCAATCCTACAGGAATGTGAGTTTGGGGTCCAAACCTTAAGCTCACTTGAAAAAGGAATGGGAAGAGAAAATGAACTTAAAGTATGCACATTAAATTGCATATTTCCCATTAGAACGCTAATTCGTCAATAAATTATCTCATTTACGATAAAATTATTTATGTTCTTATTCGAAATGAAGGTTGAATGTAACTTAGAAATACAGCTGTTTGTAGATCTTAATAAAGATATATTTGATTACGTTCATACCTCTTTAAAACACTCAAAAAAAGGGTTTCTGAAATTGTGCGTTTACACATTATAAACGCATGTAGTCACACAGTAATATAATCTCTTTGTATTGTACAGTGCATGTTTGGAGATAGCGAAGAAAAAAATGGAATGTATTGTGTCAAACACCTTGTCTGGAGTTTTACAATTAAAAACATATTTAAAAAAAAATGAAAAGCAGAAGTCTTGGTAACTTGACTACTAGACTGTATTGCTGAGGCCACGTGTACACATATACCTGTCACATGATTTTTTATTAAGCCATGTACATCCGTCTGAGGTGTATAAGATAACGTAAGAAAGTCATACCTGGGTATATTAAGAACATGAGTAGTAATAACTATGAAATCGTTAGTTTTCGTGAGAGGTTTAATTTCGATAATTTCACAGATACCCTTGACCCATGTATTCATATGTCCCAGAACTGTTGAAAATAGTCAAACTAGGTACATTGAGCTATATTTAACCGAAGTCAACTGTCCGCGAAAAGTGACTTATGAAAAACCACGAAAATTTAGCCCACGCAAATATATGATTTTACTGTATTGAGTGAATGTTGGACATACAGCGATAGGAAGGGTAGGTAACTATATCATATTGGTTGGTGCTGTGTTGATCAGTTCACGTTGATATGGTGATAGCATTTGATCAACATTTTGACAAATTGGTAAAAAAAAAAACCAGGAATAATCAGATGTTATTATCGTCAAACTCAAAGTTTGTTTGATACAGCAATGTTATATTTTGTTGGGCATGGCGATATTGAAACCTTGTTGGATACAGCAACATTGAAAGTTTGTTTGGTACAGCAACAATGAAAATTTGTTTGGTACAGCAACATTGAAAGTTTGTTTGGTACAGCAACAATGAAAATTTGTTTAGTACAGCAACAATGAAAATTTGTTTGGTACAGCAACAATGAAAATTTGTTTGGTACAGCAACAATGAAAATTTGTTGGTACAGCAATAGCAAAGAGGAATTGTAATGCCAGGTGAAGCTCTAAGAAAAAGCAAAACAGATAACGATTCCAAATATAGTCATCTGTGTTCGATTCTTGTAATGTAATTGATTGAGTAAAGAGAAAAAAGAGGCGTTCTATATGAACCGGCATGTTAAAAGAGGAGTGAACCCAGGGCTTCCGATCCTGGCATTTCCTTGATATTGGGGCACTAAAAAATAACATAACAAAAAGATTCATGTGATAGTAACAACAAAACAAAAAGTTGCCACCATTGAGAAGATTCATTTTGAACCTTGATCATAGTCACTGTATATAATTAGCTATAGACTTTGAAATAACCGAAGGTGCTGGAATACAAACAATATTGAAACGAAACCGTTACGTTTGGTTGCAAAGAAAAAAAATGAACACTTTCTTTTGATTCGGCGTCAAACTATTTTAAACAACTGCTGTCGATTAAAGTATGTGTTTTTAATTTGCTATATGATCAGTTTATTCGTAATTCGGAAATTGTATGATTTCGATCCAGATTTAAATTCAAATTGTACATTGGTAATAAATGTCTCCGATTAAAACCTTACTTAAGTATCTAACAACAATATATATGTTATTAAAGAAATTACAAGTCCTTTGTTTAAAAACATACACACGTACTTGACGTTCACTAAGAATTATCATATTTAGGAAAATGACGGAATTTATTGATGTAGCTAGTGCACCTCCTCATCTAGGTTTTGACATGTCATTCGATCAATTTGGATTTCACACTGTCGCCTCTTAGGTTTCAAAATTTTGGTCCTTGACATTCTTAACGAGTCCTAGTATAAAGAAACAGCTGTATGGTGCAGCATAATTCATCATTCTGCTCTTTCACATCTAATTCTAAATTGCTATCGAAAGGTCCTGTTATTCAGCCTTTGATTGTAACACTTCAAGTCGTAATCATCTACAACTTAATGTATCGTTATAATTCATACGTCAACGTTTATTTTTCAGTGCGGAGCTGATACCCATAGTCTTAGGAGCCAGGAGGGAGGATTATGCCCAAGTATTACCAAAGAATTCCTACATCCACGTGGAAGATTTCGAATCCCCGAAAAAGCTAGGCGAATATCTCAACCTCTTAGACAAAAATGACACGCTTTATAATGAATACTTCAAATGGAAAGTGACAGGAGATAAAATTATGGATGATTTAAATTGGTGCCGGGTTTGTACACTTTTACATGAAACGTCACTTCCGGTTATGTGGTATGAGGACATCCAACACTGGTGGAAGCCAAAGGGAGTCTGCAATGGCGCTGAAGTTTGGCAATAATTTTATTTTGCTGAATAAATTTTGGCTACATGACTGTATGGTTCTACAATTTCACAGGGAGTAAAACGGGGGGAATTGGGTTTTGTTTATATACATAAGTCAATATAATTCTATGAATTTAATTTCGTCTTTAATTTCTGCAATTGTAAAATACCGTATGTATGTGGAAATAGCGAGAGATGTGAATTTGCTGTCAAATATGTGTCAATGCTTTGACTGATACTCATACCCGGATGTGTTCGGACAACCAGGGTCAATGTGGCCCAAGGCATTACTCACCGAAGCAGAAGAAATTTCGAACAGGACGTGCATTGCTGTTGGCTACTTTTCCTGGAGGCTAAATGATGTAAAACATCAGGAAGTAAAGTCTGTACTAACTTAAGCCGATGACGGTTAGTTCATGTTCCAGATACAGCTGAACATGAAACGGATGTATATTCCATGGCTTCGGCGGTGTTCTACTGTCTTGCCGGTATTTATTTTTGTTTGGTTTTTCATTCTACTATCCATTATCTATAGGGCAAATTTTTCAAGTCGACACATATCTTTACAAAAAAGAATTTCGGAGACATACACTTTTGATATTGAGTACGATTCAACGAAACATTCTACAAATACTATTTTTCACGTGGAACCGTGGAATTATGATTATGATTCGGAAGACGAAACATATACAATTCAAACAACGCGGAAACCAATATCAGTTTCAGCATATTCATTGACATCGGCTCACACGACCGTGCCGAAAACTTCATTATCTACATCAGCAACGACTAAAATGGCCGTGCAGTCTTCTTCAGAACTGCCTGGTGCGACGCATGTTAGTGAACCTATGGCAGCAACTAACTCTATAGGAGGGGCGTTTCAGAAAACAGTGACTGGCGATTTTTATTCAAAGTTTATAGACGAAGTCGATCACGCAAGGTCTCAAGATATACTGGACCTACTACCGAAGCGGACCAACATCTCCGACAAGTCATTTCAAGGAAAAAATGGTGGGAAGTACAACGCCGAACGAATCGTTCATCAGCTAAATCACGTGCCAAGCACTTATAATTCCACGAATGTTAAAGTTGTATATCTCTCGGGTAACCAAGGCTATTGGCATCATCTGCCAGGAATGACCGCGTTTGAGCAGTGTCGTATTAACGCTTGTAAAATTACATACGATACAAAATATGGACCAGACGCTGACGCGCTGGTTTTCAGCAATCCAGGGCAACTACCACGTAAACCTCCATTCCCTAGGAAGTCTACGAAACAAGTTTGGGTGATTTCTATGATAGAAAACCCTATAAATACGAGGGTCTTGAAGAATTACAATGGGATTTTTAATTGGACCATGACCTACAGAACGACATCTGTGATAGAAACGCCCTATTTCAAATACCAAATATACAAAAACACTCAACCAAACCAGGAGACAAATTATGCCACTGGGAAGACAAAAATGGTAGCTTGGTTGGTATCAAATTGTATAAGAACCAAAAGTGGGAGGATGACTTATGCCAAAAAACTTGCTAAATATATTGACGTCGATATCTATGGCGCGTGTGGGACAAAACGTTGTCCGAGAAAAGAGGACAAGAAGTGTCTGCGCATGCTGGAGACTGATTACAAGTTTTACCTGGCGTTTGAAAACACCAAGTGTTTGGAATACGTTACAGAAAAAGTCGTCAGGGCTTTAGAGTAAGTAATATTATCTATACATGTATATGTAACAACCTAAAAATACATTTTTCTTCAAAATTGTCACATTTTGAGGTAGAACTAATGTCGTTCATTTCATGTTCTCGATACAATCTAATGATTGCTTTGATTCAGAATTACATTTGATGTGACTAACTTACTCTTTCGACTGTACATATGTAGTACATTACTGGTTAATATAGAAACCCGGGTATTTTTATTGAATCTGTTTGACTTGATTTGGACATGAACGTATCATGTATATCGGTAAGATATATATTGCTAGTGCCCGTTAAGATGGAATGTACCGAAGCATAATAATTAAGCTTAACAGAGTTCACAATTAGATTAAAAAATTATATCAGACAAATTAGAGTATGAAAAATATCAGAACGTATGTATGTAGCGACGTACATTTTTGATAGTAATGAAACTTGAACAACGATTAAAATTGTAGTTTTCAGGGTCTGAAATCTGATTTGGTAAAGCTAGAGTCATTTCATTTTTACTTCACAAGACAGAAATCGTACATGATTTGCTTTGTTTCCTTAGCTCTCCAAGATGATATGCAGATTTTTTCAGGAGGTCTGATAAAATTCTAGATTAATGATTGCAAATCATTTTATTGGTTATTTAATAAAATTGTTCTGTCTCTTTTCAGAAATAAAGTAATACCTATAGTGTTAGGCGCTCCGAAGGCCACGTACAATGCGATACTTCCGAATGGATCTTTCATTCATGTAGAGGACTTCCGGTCTCCAGAGGAACTTGCTCAATATTTACACAAATTGAATAAAAATGATACACTATACAGTGAGTACTTCCGGTGGCGTGAACAGGGTGAGTTTATAGAGACGAAACCATGGTGTCGTTTATGTGGACTTCTCCATGAACCTCTCCTACCGCCAATGTGGTTTGATGACATTGAACACTGGTGGCGACCAAAGGACGTTTGTATAGGTGCATCGGATTGGACAGATGAGAAATCGCCTTTAACACTTTCAGACTGAAGCACGACTGAGATAAACCTTTACCTCAATTTTAACTAGGGACTTTTAGAACCCATCAGAATTTACCCAAGGAAATAATCAACTAGTCAAAATCATTTAGTTTTTAAAGGTTAGAAGTTGGTTTTTTTTTTTTTTTTTTTGCCAAATTTACTTACTGCAATATAGAAACGTTTTTCGTTAATGTATCTATGTTGTTTTCTCTGAAATAATTTCTCCCGGTGGCAGACGATAATGTTGTCGATAAATTCATACGCAATAATATATATCTTCTCTACAAACCATCGGTCTGTCTCATATTACATCAGAGATCTAACTGTTTCTAGAACTCAATCAGCTGGACTAAAAAGTTCTTTCTATACATTGAAAATTCAATTTCAATATTCGCATTAATTCCACTTGTTTTTTTTAAATATTTACATTTTGACTGATGTTGCTCATTTTAGAAATTCGCATTATCAGTAAAAATGTTCATATCAACAACAGCATAACAAATGTGATCACTGACATTAAATTTTCAAGATGAGTTTTGTTTATGTAAGATAACCATACTTATGGACGTATCAGAATGAGGACGGTTGTTTGTGGGAGGAGTTTTCTCCCGATTTATCGCCATGCACACTATTATCCGAGCCAGCAAAAGCCTTTATTTAGATCGATATCATTTGTTTCATTATTGTTAAAAAAAACGAGAAAAAACTTCTTCTAAACGTAAATTGTATTACGATGTAACAATTACGAAAAAAAAAATAAAACAAGCATGATTTTTTAATTATATCAAAATTCGAGAACGTATTTCAAGGATCAAAATATCTATATGGGGAAAGTAAATTATGATTGTTGCAAGGTCAGCAATTATGCTCTGTAGTCGAACTCTATAATAAACTACTGTAAAATTACATATTTTCGTGGGCTCAATTTCCGAGGGCGTTTGTTCGAAAAAATGCAGTTTCGTGGACACTTGATTTGATTTCGTAAATAATTGTATCTCAATACACCCATCTATAATCATTTTCATTTTGATTTCGTGGATATTCATAATTTACGAATTTACATGTCCATGAACTGTTAGATTAGGTTTTAATGGACCCGTTGTTTATCCACGAAATCAAGTGTCCACTATATGTGTATACTGTATATATTTTTTAAACACAAAAATTGAGCAGCACGAAGATAAATTATTTTACATTATTCTAAATATTTAAGAAATAACGGGAAAACGTTTTATGATGACACTTCTCTTCCACAGATCACTATTTGTAACCTCAATGTCTGCAATTGTAGTTGTGAATTTTAAGTTAACTAGGTTTGAGGAACAACATTGCTCATTTCGTTGTTTTATTTTACGTTAATGTTGTTGAAAAAACTATTATCTTATATTATTTTTTGTATGAATTATTGAATATGTTGAAGATTACTAGTCAATTGTTGTGCTTATAAATAAACAATATAACAAAACGCTCCAAGTGTGTTGAGAAGTGTGTGATGAGAAGGCGAGTTTGGACTAGAGTCCAAAGGGAAGTAACTCGTAACAGCTACAACACCACAACTAACGCGGATGTGTAAATTTATACACGTACATAAACATGTGTATGAAGTTTAAGAAACACTTTACATATGTTCTGGAAGTATTCGGCATGTCAAATATGTATGCTGTAAACATGTTTAATATGACGCTATCAAATTTTGGCGCATTATCTTCTATTCGACAATTAGTGCAATGACAAAGCGCATCCATAAAAAATGTTATAAAGAACATACAAAGTTTGTAATTCACGCAATTATATTTTAATGCAATACTTTCAGCGCAAAAATTGCTAAAATGAAATAACCGCAAAATCATGTACGTTTACAGAAACATACATATTTCGGGGGATTAAAATTACTTTCTTTTTTTAAGTAGAAAACTGCTTTAATTGCATATGTATATAGAATGAGAGAGGAATTGGCCTTCAAGTTGTCTGTATAATTCCTCCTAAAAGATTGACATGTCATGACGGCCATTTACATTTTGAGAATCTGTAAAATTTCCTATGAATCAGAGGTAACATTCTAACGAAATATCTAAATGTCCCAGAGTATCAGAGTGGAACAATCTGATGAAGACATTTTTTTTATTTAAACATATCTTATTGAACATAGGTAGCAATAGGATTGGCACAACGTTTGATTAATATTTTATATAAAGCCCTTTCCAAACATATTAATACACACACATTATATTTACAAGGTGGTAGTATGACATAATAACAACCAATAATAAACAAGTTTAGAGAGAGAGAGAGATAGAGAGAGGAGGGGGGGGGGGGGGGGGGGGCTTCAGGTGATACACTGTCCGCATGTCTAAACTCACAACTTGTCAATGTCTATCACTTCCTGTGCTTTGTTTACTTCCTCCTTGTCACTCGTTGCTTCCTTGAATATCCGTTTACTTTTCGCTTGCACATACATATGTTTTTCAATTATAAAAATTATATTAATTTTAGACGTTATATCGCATTTCATTCAGTGATATCAGTGATATCATTCACAATATCAATAAAAAAAAACCAAGTGATTTCAGAAGAGTGAGGAAGAACGGGATAGAGAAATTCAGAAATATGCTTGCTAGAATCTGTTTTTTCATGGATTTATCGCTGAGTATTTAAAAATATGGTTTGGTTTTCTTGTTCAGAAAGAGAAGTGTTACCGAACTTTTTGAGTTTAATGGTATGTATTCATTTAGTTGACGTTGGTCAATATAATTATCAGAGATAAAAAAGAAATGATAGGTATCTTCAACAGGAGAGCCACATGTACAACGTTCGTTAGCAGATAGATTTACTCGCAAAAGATTACTTTTAAAAGCACTAGCATTGTTTCTGAACTTGGTTTGCAAGATGTTATTTTTCCTATCACCGAGTAAAAAAGAATTTGGAACATGTGACCGATCTTTGTCTAGAACATAGTTTTTGAACGATGAAAGTGTTTCGCTATGCCTAGGACTGATAGAGAATTGATTCCATAACCTAATCGTAGACGACAAAAGAAGCATTAGACAGATGGAGTATATTGTTACGTAGGATATAATTTTCAATGTGTTTAATGTATATTTCAGTGTACGGGGGACACGTAGTTGATTTTACTATTTTTTGACAAACACTCTCAATGTGGCAAGTCCACTTACAGTTAGCATCTATGAACATTCCCAGATGTCTATGAGAGTCGACGAAATCAATACTAATATTATTAAAAACTAAATCAATGAAACAATCCAAGTCTTTATTAGAAATAAGCAACGCCTCTGTTTCAAATTTAACAAGTTTCTGCCCATAGTTAAATTTTTACAAGATCATTATTAATATTCTGTTCAATTACTTGAGGGCAGTGGTCCGAACAAAGAAGTGAAGTGTCATCTGCGAAGAGTTTAGATAAACATAATTGACAGTTAACTTGTATACAGAGGGGTGCCGGTAAAAGTACAGTTAATATATAATAATCTTAATTCTGAGTAAGCGGGACATAATGATATGAAGTTAGTTTCGTCTTCAACGTCTCCATGTTATATATACAAAGTCCTTGGTTTCTAGGTATACCTTGGTATCTACCAGATTCAACACTTGTGTGCTTGCGTCCTAAACTTAGAGAGAACTTTTTTTAGGTAAGAGTTCATTTTGAACCCCCCACCCAAAGTGGCTACCAATGGGTTATTATACTTGGTAAATATCATACAAGTGTCTGAAAGGGTTTATTTTAAGACCATGCCCCAATTTTTCTTGGTACCCCTTAAAATAAACCCTTTTAGATATTTATGATAGCCTACTGGTAGTCATTTTGGGTGGGGGGGGGGGGGTGTGTTGTGTTCAAAAGGAACTCTTTCCCTTTTTTAACTGCAGTTCAAATTTATCAACAATGTATTTATGTAACATAAACTTAGACGAGTTTTCAAAACTGTTTTAACTCTTGGATAAAAACATCATGTACCCGTTGAGTATATAAAGACAAAAATAGTTTTCATTGGGGATATACTTAGATAACCACGTTGTTTTACATAATTACAACAGACGGCGACTAAACGTATTAACTTGAGAGTCCTCAGACCTACGGCTACCATTACTTACTTCACTGTCACAGAAAACAACATTGTCAAAAACACTATGTATACTTTGATGAAGAACGCCATGGGCAATATAGTCAGGTGTGTTTCCAGATCTACTGTTTAGATCACCCGTTACAATGACATGACCTAATGCACTGAACATCCCAATACCACTTTCTAACAGATAAAAAAACATCCTCATTATACAGTTCATAAAAAGTGGACCTTTCTGTAGGTAAGTAAGTTAGTGCGACAAAGCCATCATTGCCATCTTAGTGTAAATCTTGATCCAGACAATGCTATCAGCTTTTACAACCTCTTGGGTAGTATAACACTTAAGCCACGATATACACAATCTGCACCACATTTACACTTAACTCTCTGAAACGGCAGGAAACATTCAAACCCACTCACAGTAAAAGTATCGATATTATCAAATCAATATCTCAGGTTAGACACATAATGTCATGCGCATTGAAGATATCACAAAATCCCTCAATACCGAGAACGTAGTCTAACACTTACTTTGATAATAATTAATATTATAGTAATGGCCAATAATTCGTATTACGGTAATTGCCGTAATGTTCTATATCAGATAAATACAACAGCATACAATAGCTTGTTTACTTTTACGGTCAAAAACATTATAACACATCACAAGTTATTATCATACAACATAACCGTAAAGTTGTAATGTAATATGATATAGTGTCATACAGTGTAATTACTGACTATTATATAATGGCTTGCATGATAATGTTTTAGCATTGAAATTGATATAAATATATATATTGTTGACAAGTTGCGAGTTCAGACATGTAGACAGTGTATCACCTGTTGCGCCTGCATGGAGAAGGAGCAGTTGGATGATCTACATATATAGAACGTAATTTAATCATGCAAAGCTCGTGTTGTACACCTCCTCCCTCTCTCTCTAAACATGTTTATAATTGTTTGCTATCGTGTAAATTTAATGCGTGTGTATTAATATTTTGAAATGGCTTTATATAAGTTGTAAAACTTGTGCCCAATCTTATTGCTACTTGTATAATCATGTGCAATAAAATATGTTTAAATCAAATGTTGATATCGTTGTGTTTTCTGCACATCAATGCTTTTGCTGAAAGCAACCGGTGACAAGACTACGACAACCATTGTGTTTATTAACATTAAGTTTAACGACAGGCTATATCTCTGCATGGTTGCTTGAACATCTTCTTCACCACCCATGCAAACTTTCAATATATTTTTTTATTTAAAATTGAAGTAGTGAACACCCAGTGCTGTCGGTCTTCCTCGTTCTCCTCATCATGTAATAGCACAGACAGATTGCTTCGAAAAACCTGTCAAAAATGTAGTTAGTAATATCTGGTATCTGTTTGTTTTGATGCTATACCCATATTGGAGTGGACCATCTTTATACTTGCATGGACAGTATTTTGATCATGGACTATTGGTCCTATTTCATTCATACTTAGACAAAATACTAAATACTGATATATATGAAAGGAAATAATTTTGTTGTAAAACAAATAAATATTTTTCACTTTCCTATTATATATTCTGTTCACTTTCCTATTATATATTCTGAAATTTGTGGTTGGCAACAACTATGAATCAGAAAATTTCTGGTATATACATATCCTTTTCCTTCATACTGTTCACAATATACAAAACTTTTCTTATTTTTTTAGTAATGTTTAAATTTGGTTATTTTTATCAAAAGATTTGGAAAGTTTGTATTTCCACAAATTAAATTTGCTATTTTATAAAATATCAAATATCCTAAAAACGAGCTGGTAACCATGGCAACAACTATGAATCAGAAAATTTCTTTTAACTAAAATACGGTATATACAGTTATCTAGACGATTATTCTGTAATATATGCACTACGTTTCTTTTCTTTTAAATTCTTGAGTTAATACGTATAAAATCTAAGGAAAAATACGTATAAATTACTATTGGAAAAAAATCTTTGTGAAGACGGTGTCAGATTCTGGGGAAGTATAAACCTGGAGGTAATCAATTAAATAATTATTAACCAATTGTATAATATAATGTGGATCTCATTCGCTATGTTTTTTTTAATACGCCGTGATGTAAATTCTGATCACACTGTATTATCCTACCTTATCTCCTCATACAGCGGTCACTGATAATTGGTCAGTTATCAGACGACCGCGCGACTCCGACTGATTCTTCAGTCATACTGAACTTTTTAACTGTTGTTTGACATTTTCTTTTAATCTACACTGAGTGTTATTCATATTTGAACTTCTTCTATACGAAAACAAAGATAACAAATCATCCCTTCCTATTTATATGCCACCTTATATAACACGAGAAATGTGATAAAGTAGTTGATAGATATTGGATTTGAGTAGGTAACTTTCCGATCCATTAGACGTATGAGATATGAGATATTCGGGCATCGAAAAAAAAACCCACAGGTAACCGTAGACACTGTCCATTTCTTATATCAAGGGAGATAATGACATCAGGTTTAGTGCACAAATAGCTGAACTGTAGTATAAACTTAGTCTAAACCTAGTCAGAATCTCGTGCACTACAAGTGCACTAGCTGTAAACATTCAATAATATTTGTAAAACACATGACATGACGTATAGTGAAGTAAGGGGAGGTAACTACGGTGAGAAATTCAGACAATTAATCAAGCTGTACTTGATTATCAAACACAGAAAAACAAACTCGGTGGTAATTTAAATATAAGTGGAATAACACTAACCTCATATTCGCAATGTTACCGTTTCTGTTATTCGTTCTGGTTTTTTTTCTTTTAAGATCAGACTCCGTTTTCCGTATCCGTAAAATTCGCCAATCCGTAATCCGTTTCAGAAACTTACATCACTGGCAATATGGCCGCAATGGATTCTAAGAACGCATTGAAGACATGGGAGTTTAGCAATAACATGGAAAGTGTCAACTCACATGATGAAATATATAGATACGACAAGCAACAACAACAGGACATTTTAACAGCAAAGCCATGGGAAAAAGAGTGAGTTGGTTTATAATGGCATACAATACAGCGGAACAGCACTTGCATATAAGCACTTTTAATCTAGGTAAAATACTTGCTGCAAAATAACGTTCGGTAAGATAGGTCTTCTCAGACTAGTCTACTTGTAGTAAATCAGAGGCCGGATTAGGATACTAGCGGAGACAGTAAAACGGATAATGACCTCTGTTATATTGGCGCCGATATAAGGACTCTGAGATAATACTTCGCGTTACTTTCACAAGCATCCATGTTACGTTCCAGGAGGGGGAAGTTTGTAACCCTGGTAAAATACTAGTTGCAAAGTGCTACGCAGCTAGACAGATTTTTTCTTTAGTTCGATTGGTTGATTATAAGTAAAGTAAATCAGAGGTCCAGGGTTTGAATCCTAGTGGAGGCAGTGAATTCGAAATGAATAATGACCTCTGTTTCATACTACTGCATTTTCCACCAATGCACCATTTTCAAGTTATTATTGTAATGGCAGATCTACACAAGTCTCTAGTATACATGTACTTGGTCAGTTCAGAGTTTTTAGTTTCATGTAGACTTAAACCGTCTCTTTTGGTACATATATTCAAATTTACAGTATTTGCGGAAGATCAGGATCAGGAGATAATCAGACAGGTATTAAACAAATTGTTTTCATATGTACAATCTGGGGATCATGCCACAGGAGGGATTGCAGTAACAAAATAAAACCAGGATCCCTTATGTGAAAATCTACTGTTCTATCGACAGAGCAAAAGTAGCTCAGGGCATGCATGCTTCGTCAGCTAAGTGACAGACACTGAAACAGTATGTACACTGAGTAGCCCACTCGCTAATGCCTTCCCTCAGCAGAGATGTTTTTGGCAGTTATTACACAGGGATGGCATGCAACAGTAAATTTCAAAGTATCACATGGTTCAGCAATGAATGTACTCAAATTTTATAAAATTTTGTACATTTGTAACATCTAAAAAAATAAATTCCTTTTTTTTGCAGTCCTCATTACTTCAAACATATAAAGATCTCTGCTCTTGCCCTTCTGAAGATGGTGATGCATGCAAGGTCAGGTGGTAACCTTGAAGTCATGGGTCTATTGCTAGGGAAGGTTGATGGTAACACCATGATAGTAATGGACAGCTTCGCTCTTCCAGTCGAAGGAACAGAGACACGAGTGAATGCCCAGGCCCAGGCTTATGAATATATGGCTGCCTATACAGAGTCAGCTAAACAGGTAAGTATTTGTGAAGATATAGCAAGTTGTCTTTATTTCTTTCAATTTTATTTGTTTAATCTTTTTTATCAAGATAAGGAGAATAATGCTTGAGTCAGTAGTATTGACAAGCTAAATTTGGTCATAAAACCTTCATCCAAACAGAAGAAGAAGGATTTGGAAAATGTTCCTCTATTTTCCCTACTTTGCCCATCCATCTGACCCCTGAAGGGGTGTTAAACCCTCCATTTATACAAAATACAGTCCACTTTCGCACAAGGGTGTTGCTGACTACGTCAGGACAAAGTTTTGTGATACGTCAATGAAGAAAGATTTTGAGGAATTCGGAGTGGGTGGAAATAATTGTCAACATTTAGAAATTAAAATGAAATAGATTGTTAATGAAAACATTTCCGATACTGTAATCCTAAATCAGTACATGATGATGATGACACAGGCTTGTCACTAACACCATGTAGAATATGTATCTTTGTATCAATAGGTTGGAAGATTGGAGAATGCTATTGGGTGGTACCATAGTCACCCTGGTTACGGATGCTGGCTTTCTGGGATAGACGTCAGTACACAAATGCTGAATCAGCAGTTCCAGGAACCATTTGTAGCCATTGTGGTAAGTATGTTCAAACATTGGTCATACTTCTTGTATAGGAGGTTGCACCCAGGCTATGTTTTGTTTGAAATACTAGGGACTTTGACCTCAATTCCTACACAAAAAAGAGATCAAAACAACGAAATCAGTTGCTACAAAGTTGGTTGTCATTAAAAACCAAATTTAATATTTGCAATTGGACTGTTTTGTGGGTAGAGACTTGTCCTGATGTTTTAAAACCGAAATCAGTATACATGGATATGATTCCAAATTTGGTTCAGATACTGAACTTAACATGGGATTTTACACAAAAGTAATACATGTTAGGTTTGTAATGATGTAGCTAGTCGCTATGTTCTCCATCTGTATTTCTTACTAAATAAAAAATGGAAATTTTCCATAAGATATGTCATAAATTTTCTGATAAATAATTACTTGCAATGTTTTGGAAGTTTGCATGTAAAATTGAAATTGCAATGCAATGGTTTGAATTTCAGTAATACGTTTAATTTTCTTTTTTAAGGTAAATGCAATGAATTTATTTTAAAGTTTCAGCAAATTGATAAGTATTTACTTTTTCACTATTATGAAAATTTCACTGATATCAGTCTGAATTGCTTAACTGGAGATTTGACTCAAACACTGAATGTATTTTCTGTTACAAAAAGGTGGACCCAGTGAGAACCATATCAGCTGGCAAAGTCAATATAGGAGCTTTCAGAACATATCCTAAAGTAAGTATATAAACTACTGCCCATTTTTCATAGATATACAACTAGTGAGACTTTTTACATATCTATATAAATTTATCTGGAGTATACAAAGAAAAGATATACAGCTAAGATAGGTATTCAGTCACATAGTACCACATTTTGTTTCTACCTACAAACAAACAAAAGTGAGAAAAGAAATAAAAAAATTGATATCAAATGAATTTCAAAGGACAAATTGCATGTTGAAATTTTATTGTAAGCTATAATTTATATTTAAATCCTATTCTATATAATTCATTAATTTGTAAACATATGTAATGATATGAGAAGATTAACATTTTAATGAAGAGACTTAATTACATGTAATGTTTTTCAGGGATATAAGCCACCCGATGAAAGTCCCTCAGAGTATCAGTCGATTCCACTCAACAAGATTGAGGATTTTGGTGTACATTGTAAACAGTGAGTAACTTATAGACAGGTGTTGTTCTAAAAATCAGAACTTAACTTATGATTTTCTGATTAAGGATTTACCAGAGTTTATGCTGTGCGTTGTATAAGTTGGGTCTCTACAAATCCTGCCGATAAGTTGGGTCCCTTTTATTTTCTAAGCTTCTAAAAACAGGGACTTGACACAAATTCCCAATCCATGGACCATATATGTATTTAATTGACAAAGGTTGTAACTCCTTTGGGAGAAAAACTGAACATATTTTTAAAAATTATGCTTTATATATTCTATAGGTCTAGCCATTTCTACATATGTTTCCAAATTTTCAGGCCATAACTTGGTCAATACTTGTCTAATCTTTTTCATAAAACACTCATTGGAAAGATAAAACATTTCTCTTCCAGAGAGTGTTACTTAGATCTGCTGCCCCTAGAATATAAAAAAAACATAAAAAAATAGGTATAGTTTTCTCTTCTCAAGAGTTACAATCACTATGATACATATATATGGTTCCTGGATTGATTCGAGCAAAGTCCTGGTGCTTCAAAGGCTATTGAGACAGCATCAATGCATTCTCTGATTTACAGGAGGGAGGGATATTTATTCCTACTTCTGCAAGTCTTCAGCCTTACCCTTGTCATTGTTGTTCATTTGGTACCTTGCCAGAATCGGACTAATTAAGTCTCTTGGAAGGTACTGGAGCACTGCACAACTTCAAAAAATCCCTTGGAGCCTGTCAAGCAGTCTCCATCTGTTAAATCCAAGGGCTCTCAGAGTGAGCTGCATGTATTCCCAATACAAAAAGGAAAACCTGCCACCTTCGCTCTGAATTTTATCCTCAGCAAATTTCTAATTGATACAATATCGTGCTCCATTTGTCTTCACATACAGCAAAATGTGTTTTGTTTCCACTGAGATTGGGAGGTGTTCATTGTGTATGACAATAGTTTCAAAACAATTCACACCTTAATTGTGTTCTACCTTGGTGTGAAAAACAATTCAATAGACACAAAAAAGGGCCATTTTGTTGTAAAGATGAAAGACTGGTTGGTTTGTCAGCGTTACAAGACATTGACTTTCAGTGCAAGACAGGAAATTTTCCAGAAGGGAGATATCTGTGATACAACTTATTTGCAACAAACACAAATGTCAGGTTCATGACATGATTTGTCCTGTGATCTCTTTATATGATATCTTTCTTTTTACAGGTACTATGCTTTAGACGTTTCTTATTTCAAGTCTGCCCTTGATAGAAAACTCCTGGAATCTCTCTGGAATAAGTACTGGGTCAATACTCTAAGCTCGTCCAGTCTGCTTACTGTAAGTAGATATACAGATGAGGTATCCTAAGGATTTGAAGCTTATCCAGAAATAAAAGTGATTTCCTTCATTTCCTAACTACATAATATTCAATATATAAGATTTGAGTATATTGTTTGCAAGATATTTGATTTATTTTTATCTGATTCATATCAGCAATTGTTTTAGGTTTTAGGTCAAAATTTTAATGTAAAAATGTATTATTTTTCTGACAATTAAACCTTTGACATAATTGAAAAACAACAGTCCGATTTTTTGTACTCGTAGAAACAGGAAAATGTTGTTTTCTTTTTTGGCTTTTGAAAAACTTATGTAGAGGGAAAAAAATCAGTTTAAGAAACATTCTGAGACAAATGTATGTAGATGTAATGCTTCAAGCTGGAGTTGCATGTGTGTTCCTTTTTGATAAACAAATAATGGTTCTAATTAGGAAAACTTGTTAAGGTATGGGTAGTGTGAACAAGTTTTGTTTTACTTATTTATAAAACAAATCTATTGACAATACTCTTTTCAGTCTATGAGTATATTTTTACAAAGAAAAAAATATATCTGAAAGTTTTTGTCAGACTTAAATTTCTTTTGTTTTTGTGTTTTGTTTGTTTCTTTCTTTTCCTCTTTTTTTTAACATTTTTTTTTATTTGAATAAGAATTTTACTCCAGGATATTTTCAAAAAACAATTTATTATCTTTCTCCTTTGGTTGGTATTGCATCCCTTGTGCCACTTTATTGTGGTAGACACACCTCTTTGTAGATGTTAATTGATATACAACCTACATTTCAGAATGCTGACTACACAACTGGTCAGATATTTGATCTAGCAGACAAGCTAGAGCAGTCAGAGGTCCAGTTAGGCCGTGGAGGATTCATGCTTGGTATGGATTCCCATGAAAAGAAATCTGAAGACAAATTGATGAAGGCAACAAAGGATGGGTAGGTATTGATTTATGGGAGGGGTTCTGTGGCCACGACATGTATAGATTTGTCTCTATTTGTAAAGTGTTTGTTGTATTATCATTGTTTGTTATGGAATTTTTTACTTGCACTTTTTGTTGGTGGTAATTTTACTTTATTATTTTACAGGTGTAAACCCACAATGGAATCAATCCATGGTCTGATGTCGCAGGTTATTAAAGACAGACTTTTCAACAGGGTCCACTTGGCTAAATGATAATTTCATTGTTTACTGAAGTACATACCTGGTCAAGTGGTCATGTGATTGTTGACTGGAAAACACCCAAGAAGCCATGTGATATTTTACTTGAGAACACCTGGCCATGTAGTCATGTGACTTTACTGAAGAACACCTGTTCAAATGATCTTGTGAATGTTTACTTGAGAACATGTACACTTTGCCAAGTGGTCATATGACTTTCCTAGACATTTCACAAAGTGATCATGTGACTGTATACCTGAGAACACCTGGCCAAGTTGAGTGATCATGAGAATGTTTCATGGAAAACACCAGGTCAAGTGGTGACTGTTATGTGATCGACTGTCTACTGGAGACCACCTGACAAAGTTTTCATATGACTTTAATGAAGGAACACTTGGCCAAGTGGTCATGTGACTGTACACCTGAGAACACTATCATGTGACTTTGTAAAATAGAAATTGTTCTGTGGAAATGTTTCAAAGAGCTTAAATCATGCTTGACTTTTAAACTAATCAGGAATCCAGAAAAATGTGCATATGTGTATGTGTTGCAATGGAGCAGATCAAGCTGACTAGAGTTTTACATTAAAGTATGAGAGACAGAGGGAATCAATATGTTAAGTGCTACTCTATTTATAAATTTTTGTGTGGTGGTGTATGTGTATGGTCTTTATGTTCTACTGCAAAACGTCACTAGCCATTTACTTGTTCTGCCAGTCTTTAAAGATCAGTATGAAATGTCAAAACATTTTATATGTGCTAATTATATGATAAACTTGCAAAAATAAATTGTATTTGCATAAAATAAATCTTTCATTCTTCTATGAAGAGATACATAGTGACTGCTTCAGATCAAACAAACCTGTTTTTACTGTTAACATGTAAAACAAACATATCAACACATGAGATGCAGAGGTAGAGAAGATACAAAATTAACCAAATATTTAGACACACCAAAAAAAAATATAACACAACAAAGTCATGAAATCCTGTTCAATCGGCCAATAACCAAATGTTCTCTTGAAACAGGAAACACCATGCTTTTACCATATATTGGTAGCATCCACCTGGAGTCATCTACAATTTTTAAATAAGAGGCCATACCAACAAATAATTCGACAAAATTACGCATTTCCAAGATAGTTGAGAAACAGAATTAGTCTGTTTAATATCCTGACATCTAGGAATCAGGTTGCATCGGTTCTGTCAAAAATTATTTTTCATTATTACTTGTAATTATTAGTATGGTTACAATAAAAGCAGAGAAATGTATGAACAAGTCAGACTCAAAAACAAGTGGAGAGATAGTGCTTGTGATTGACAAAAGGGACTGGGGTTTGATTCTTTAATTGAACATGACCAGGAATGGGCAGGACTACTTGGCTGATCATACTGGGGGTTTTTCATTGACGATATTGTTTCCTGTTGCTTTTACCTTAAAGCAGGACTTGGACATAGATATATCAGTAGACATTGAAAATGGTTGATATGTCTTGTTTCACAAAAGTTAGAAAATGGAAAATAGCGAGAGATCCCCAAAAGCCTGATCACTACGGATGTGAGGACAATACAACGGATCAAAATGTAGTGACCAAGTAATGACTAAGGAAAGAGAACTCTGGAGGAAAACCACATTGAAGTCAGTTGACAACCTGTAGTATTGAGAGATTCAAAAAGCATAGATGACAAAAAGTAAAAGTGTGATGAGCTTATACAATGAGTCACAAAAGTCTAATGAATGATTTATTAGAAAAAGGTAGATAAAATTATGCCATACATTGTGTAGAGTACATGCAAGGAATGATTTGGAATAGCAACTCCTTGTCCCTAATCAAAAGCGGAAACTTTTGGAACAAAATAAGTTAAAGACAGATAACAAACTGAATGAGAAGGAAAAGAGGTGGAAAAGGGAAAATGTGAATTAATATGTTCCGATAAATTCACTGTTCACTAAAATATGATAAAGCCTTTTGGAGGGGGCAGAAGGGAAAAGGAAGATCTGCAAACTCTTTTGGTCTATTTCTGTTCTCAAAGAACCTGTTGTGAATTAAACAATGAGGCCCTCCTGCAGGTTTTAAGAAAGAAGTTGAGGTACATCAGGGAGTAATGCTCCAAGACTGCATGAGAGTAACCAAAACCCAGGTATACTAGAGGTGTCTCCAAGACTGCATGAGAGTAACCAAAACCCAGGTACACTAGAGGTGTCTCCAAGACTGCATGAGAGTAACCAAAACCCAGGTTCACTAGAGGTGTCTCCAAGACTGCAATGAGAGTAACCAAAACCCAGGTACACTAGAGGTGTCTCCAAGACTGCATGAGAGTAACCAAAACCCAGGTACACTAGAGGTGTCTCCAAGACTGCATGAGAGTAACCAAAACCCAGGTACACTAGAGGTGTCTCCAGGACTGCATGAGAGTAACCAAAACCCAGGTTCACTAGAGGTGTCTCCAAGACTGCACGAGAGTAACCAAAACCCAGGTACACTAGAAGTGTCTCCAAGACTGCAATGAGAGTAACCAAAACCCAGGTACACTAGAGGTGTCTCCAAGACTGCATGAGAGTAACCAAAACCCAGGTACCCTAGAAGTGTCTCCAAGACTGCATGAGAGTAACCAAAACCCAGGTTCACTAGAGGTGTCTCCAAGACTGCATGAGAGTAACCAAAACCCAGGTTCACTAGAGGTGTCTCCAAGACTGCATGAGAGTAACCAAAACCCAGGTTCACTAGAGGTGTCTCCAAGACTGCATGAGAGTAACCAAAACCCAGGTACACTAGAGGTGTCTCCAAGACTGCATGAGAGTAACCAAAACCCAGGTACACTAGAGGTGTCTCCAGGACTGCATGAGAGTAACCAAAACCCAGGTTCACTAGAGGTGTCTCCAAGACTGCACGAGAGTAACCAAAACCCAGGTACACTAGAAGTGTCTCCAAGACTGCAATGAGAGTAACCAAAACCCAGGTACACTAGAGGTGTCTCCAAGACTGCATGAGAGTAACCAAAACCCAGGCATACTAGAGGTGTCTCCAAGACTGCATGAGAGTAACCAAAACCCAGGCATACTAGAGGTGTCTCCAAGACTGCATGAGAGTAACCAAAACCCAGGTACACTAGAGGTGTCTCCAAGACTGCATGAGAGTAACCAAAACCCAGGTACACTAGAGGTGTCTCCAAGACTGCACCAAAACCCAGAGAGTAACCAAAACCCAGGTACACTAGAAGTGTCTCCAAGACTGCAATGAGAGTAACCAAAACCCAGGTACACTAGAGGTGTCTCCAAGACTGCATGAGAGTAACCAAAACCCAGGTTCCCTAGAAGTGTCTCCAAGACTGCACGAGAGTAACCAAAACCCAGGTACACTAGAAGTGACTCCAAGACTGCAATGAGAGTAACCAAAACCCAGGTACACTAGAGGTGTCTCCAAGACTGCATGAGAGTAACCAAAACCCAGGTTCACTAGAGGTGTCTCCAAGACTGCATGAGAGTAACCAAAACCCAGGTTCACTAGAGGTGTCTCCAAGACTGCATGAGAGTAACCAAAACCCAGGTTCACTAGAGGTGTCTCCAAGACTGCAATGAGAATAACCAAAACCCAGGTACACTAGAGGTGTCTCCAAGACTGCAATGAGAGTAACCAAAACCCAGGTACACTAGAGGTGTCTCCAAGACTGCAATGAGAGTAACCAAAACCCAGGTACACTAGAAGTGTCTCCAAGACTGCAATGAGAGTAACCAAAACCCAGGTTCACTAGAGGTGTCTCCAAGACTGCATGAGAGTAACCAAAACCCAGGTACACTAGAAGTGTCTCCAAGACTGCAATGAGAGTAACCAAAACCCAGGTACACTAGAAGTGTAAGCCCAGCATTACAGGTGAATACAGAATAAATTCTGATTGAATGGTAAGAAGGCCAGTGTAATACACATTCAATCAAACATCCATGAGGTCCTGAACTGAAAATCTGAAAGAAAGAAATGTCTTTATGGAAAAGAAAAGGCAGCAGTGGAAAACAGCATACCTATGTCAACCTTCAAGTTGGGTACACAAAGAATGCAAGATAAATTGTAGTAACTGAGGGTGATAGGCTGAACTTAACCAATATCATTTATTATGATTCAAAACACCTTGCTTAGGATTCTTTCAATCTCATATTCATGTGCAAATTTTGAACATTCACAGGGATGCAGCAGATATTCATAGTCAGAAACAGCACAGCAGATTGGTTCAACTTAAATTGTGCGGGTCTTGGATCTTTTTGCCAATGCAGCTCGGCAGCAGACTATGGAATGAAAACTTGATCAGACTTGTATCAACCAACATACAGAAGGTTTATGAATGGATGGGGATGTAGATAAAGTTCAAACCTAAAACACCATGGTGAATGATCATGAAGAAGGGTTAGATACATCTGAATGTAAATAAACCTTCAAATTTCCCTACAGGTTCCATTAATTGTTTTATACTGAAAAAAAACCACAAATAACAAGTCCCCAGGAGTCGAATCAAATTTCTGAATTTAAGAAATGATTCCCCACCTGCATTGATGATTCAGACAAATTTAAATGAGATCCGTTTAAGAATTAGGGAAGATGACCGTTTTGAAGCAAAGTTTTGTCTAACTTTCCATTTGGGGCCCCGTCCCAAGGTCCCTTGGGGCCAAATCAACTGTCTGAATGTTATATATGATTCCCCACCCCCTATGATGATTTAGGCAAAATTTGGTTGAAATCCGCTGAGACGTTAAACAGTAGGCCTATTAGAGTTTTAAAGGAAAAATTTAGGACTGCTTACGATGACTGGCGACGATAGCAATAGGTCATCTTGACACGTCTTGTGACCTAAAACGAGTTCCATTTGGTCACAATAATTAATCGCGGGTGTGCAAAGATACATATCTGTCATATAGTTTCTAGATTTACTTTTTTGTACAATGTCTGAAGGAACAAGATAAGGATACATCAGATGAACAGATGTGTGTGACTGCACGAGATGGTACATACAACTAAAATGAAGCATAAAAATCCTATTTTAGCACACGAATTTCCATCTTGGTAGCGAGTTCAATTAGTATACATGTTAGTGAAATGGTTTGGAAGTTATGTTTTCGACAATTTTTCACTATCAACAATGAATACAACATTCTAATTCAGTAGTTTGTGGATAAAAAATCCTGTTTTTCCAGATTGATTGATTGATTGATTGGGACGACGAAGTAAAGACAGACAGACAGACAGACAGACAGACAGACAGACAGACAGGTCCAGATGGCAGAGATGTCATCATACTCCAGACATTACAAAAATAAACACAAGGCTATAACTCTTGACGTGCAGTAAAGCTCAGAACCTATTTCACATGATTTGACCAAATATATTCGCGTAATATATTGTAGAAACACTTATACAAAGTGTTATAGTACCTGTTCAGGAATCATAATTAAATGGAAAAGAGAGTTTTTATGATATGCTAGGCTTTAAACACCAATAAAATAGAAGTTAAGCTGTAGGTCAACAATTGGTTGGTTGTGTGTGTGTGTGTGTGTGTTGTGTGTGTGTGTGTGTGTTATTTTTTTAAAAGTCACACTTCCTTGAAGTCGCCTCCTCGTCGCTATCTCTGAATCCAGGGAGTTAACTCGTGCAAATTACAATCATTTGCCTATCCCTCCCATGACATCTCCATAAATGAATTATTCTATTACTATAATATATTTCATTAAGCTAACTTGATTTGCTGAGATACCTTATGTAACAAGAATTGCTTACATATCCAGCCGCTAACATAGAAGACTTTCTCAGTTCGCGAAGTCATTTAATGCAAACTTGAAAGTCTATTCTCCAAGCATGCTTCTACATCAATATGACTCATGACCTATTGCCTGTTGAAATTTTAGGTTCTTAACATATTTGAACCGTATAACTTTCAACGTGGGTCAAGGTCATTCATCCCAGCATGCTGCAAGCCATATATCAGCACGCCATTTTCTGAACAATCAACAGGCCCGAAATCGACACTCTGTTTTAACATTTTACCAAATTTGACTTGTGCGACGTTGCAAGAATCGTTTATTTGACAGCTTGTCTAGCTCTTCATCCCAGCACCCCAACCAAGTGGGGAACTGGGGTGTTTGCTTGATGTCTCAGATCAGGATATAACCTTTGTAGAGGTTCTCTGTACTACCAGTAAGATTACCCAATGGCCACGCAAGAAAGCAAATTGGAAACATCCAATTAGATCTATCCGACATGATAACATCAAAGGGAGCGATGAATTCACGCAAGAATCTGACTAACTTTGATCCCGAGGCAGTTTTCCCTTGATCACTCCTGACTAAATCCACAGGAGTGATCGATTATATTACTTTTTGAATAAAACAAATCTGGGCACCAAGAACTTAAAACTAAATCCAAAACACTTCCGTACTGAATGAATGGGGAATTAAGGCAGTCAAACTGGAAATATATTGAAAACATAGCCTCACCACAAAAAGTTGACAAGTTCAGTTCAATGAAAATTATACCTGTATCAAACACCAGAAGACCGGCCACAGTGATGTAGCTCCCTTAAAATCAGATGGTAAACTGACTCTCATAAAAAACTGATGTATTAAAATCCAACCCCACTACACCAGATGTATTTAATCAAGATTTAAACACGCCCAATAATATCTCTATTCTTGGTGATCTAAACTTCTTAAGTGTCGACGAGGTAAGGAAATCAATACAAAACCTAAACCCCACAAAAACAACAAGTCCTGCTGGTATTAAACCTCAATTCTGAAAGGAAATGGTAAGCAGGATATCTCAAATACCCTGTCTTTATCAACACCATCAAATCATGTATTGTCCCATCAGATTGGAAGGTCACAAGTTTCTCCATTTACAAACTACAACCCAGGAAATTACAGACCAATTTCTTCAACAAGCATATGTGATAAGTTACTCGCACAGTGTCGTTAGCAGTATCGTGTCACATACGGAAAGAACATCATATATTTTACTCTTCTACATCGGTGTTAGATAATCCTGGTCTCGCGAAACTCATTTTCGATAATGTATCAAACTATCTTGAAAACACAAACGGATGAACTCATTCCTGATTCTTCAATAGCCTTTGATAAAGTCCGTTACAACCTATACTGTTCCACAAACAAATCGTTTACAGCAGAATGGGTAACCTAAACACCTGGCCCCACTTGTATAAAACATCTCAACTTGAGATTTCCTCAAGCCCAGATTTTCCTCAGCTAATATCTCCTTGAAAATATTTTGTATGAAAATTCCTCAAGGAATTTCAGGACATCCTATGATTTCCTCCTGTTCCTTGAGAAAATTTTATACAAGCCGTTTTTGAGGAGATATCAGCTGAGGAAAATCTCGACTTGAGGAAATCTCAAGTTGAGATGTTTTATACAAGTGGGGTCTGGGTCAATAACTTTCTATAAAATATACAGGGTTTGATGGCGAGCTATCTTCCCAATGTACCAGTCGAATCCGGGCACACGCAGGGATCAGTCTTCGAACCACACTTCTTTTTATATTAATTACATCTTACAAGTTTGACTGTACGCTGCTGACGTCAAAGTTATTATCACTTCTAATCAAGATGCTGCTGTCTTTTAGAATGATGCTACTGTTTTAGAATGAACTTGTTGACCAAAAATATGGCGGAAAATGGAATTCCACACCATAAAATATAGCGTCCTTTCAATTGCTAAAAACAATATCCCATTTTATTATAACTCTGCTGACAGAACCATATCAACAAGACCTCGAATATGATTCCCACATATCAGCTAAAATAGTTAGTAAGGTACTGGGCTTCATTCGGCGTTACCAGAAAACGAATTCTAAATTTCCGACCGTTAACAGCAAGCGTTGATCCAGGATTTCGGGTAAAAAGCCGATTAAACTAGTTTTTGCGTCTTATCACAAGGTGTCACACACGAGAACTTCAATTTTGCCACGGCATGCTCTAGGGGAACAAAAAGCGACAGTGAAAACATCACTTCATATTATATTGACATATTCAATACTCAGTATGTTTAAATAGGTCAATTATTTGGCAGTAAACCATGACGACGCGCCACAGCGTAAACTCGGTCGCGCGCGTTGCCCTATGGATCTAATGCGCAATGCTTAAAATAATAATTATGATATGAAATAATTCTCCAGAAGAACCAAGAGATTAAGGGAAAGTCTGTGGTATTGGTTATCAACATTCAAGATAAATGTGCGATTACAAAGATTAGTTCGTATTTACTATGAAAACGAAACGTTGGTCAAATACAATCGCTATACTGATCCGATCGTTTGCATATTTCGTATGTCAATCTGTGATCCGCGGTGATATTTTTTCGTAACTGCTGACAGCGCCACCTATCTGTCAGCTTAAAGCCTCGGACAAAATGCAGGTGCGCACTTAATTTATAAAACTTTTTTAATCTTTGACAAATAAAACTAATCACAAATTTTGCAGTTATGATAAGTTACAGTTATGTTTTAGAATATCGTCATTGGAATAATATTAACACGTTGTTTTCGATTTATTTACAGTGGTGATGCAGGAGGTCACGTGACTGATTGGAAATAATATGGCGGACGACAAGGTGGTGTTACCGGACAATATTTGCTAGAAACGACAATTTGCTTTTTATTGGTGTAATGCTGGATATTTAATGATAATGCAACAAGGCACACGGCCACAAGATATGTTTCTAACACGTGCGCTTGAGAAAATCTTGAGCGATAAAGAAATTAAGAAGGCACATCATTCCCAGCTGAAGCGAGCCTGTGAGGTGGCACTCGGTGAGACAATATTTGACATGATGATACCTTATATCGTATTACACTGTCTGTATGTTTACCATGTATACATTCTAGTATACTAAATCATATCGTCAATTGACAAACAACTGGCGATCCTGTTGAATGGTGAAGCGTTACAGATGCATGTGCCGGGCGCCGGCTGTCTATTTTGACAACCAACCCTGTACAAGCCCCTCCCACTAAAATGCTCCCCCCCCCCCCAATAAACCCCTCTCCAATCTCTACAGTTCCAGAACAGATAAAATTCATTACATATATCAGTTTATTGTTCTAATATCATATATTGATATGTTATTTCCATGATTATTATTACGTTTTGATTATATGACTTGCAGTTATTTTTTAATCGCTACAATTTTTTCACTATCTGTAAATGATTAAACCCATGTTCTGTATTTATTACTTCTCAGAACATTTCCAAAATGGTTGTATGAAGGATTGAGGAGATTAAACTGGAAAAAAGTATTGATATTGCTAATATATTTGTCAGATCATTAAATGACAGGTGAGAATGGTTATACAAACTTATAAAACCTTTAACAACGACCAAAAAAGACTAGCAATGTCATGACCACAATGAGTCATATTTTTGCAGAAAAAAAATCACTTAAATATTTGTAGTGTATTAAGCATACACTTCAAACTGTTAACTCTGAATATCATAAAACGTTTGTGCAATGTATTGAATATGTTACACTCTATTTAGTTAAAGCCCCAATAAAAATATCATTTGGCAAATTTACAAGATTGAAAAAAATTATTGACAAAACTTCCACTTGATGATTATGCAGAGAAGAAATTTTAAAATACTGAAAAAGGCGATGTAGTGTCTGTTAAGAAATACTACTACTGGGGATATTAAAATAAGTGAAAATTGATAAAAATGGGTTGCACTCAAAATACAAACTGATGTTGTACAAAGATCTGAAGGCTGTCATGGAAAAAGGATGTGACCAATTTGGCGTGTATTGTGAAAACCTATCACAGGAAGAATAAAGGTGTAAAAGCATTTGTTGGCTCGCTGTATACTGTGAGTAGGATGTACACAAAGTTTACAGTAAATACTTTCCTCCCATGGAAATGTCTAAAAAAATTTCCAACTTCGGTTCGGCAAACATTGTAAATGGTGGCATGTTCACGAAAACTAGATATCAGCATTTATATCAAAATCAACTCACCACATCATCTTGAGTATTTATACGCTATTGATATATATATATTGTAATTTCTCTTTGCTCTTTTAGTAAAAGTTGCATATATTTGGGGTTTAAAGGTTTGAGGAATTTATGATTATTGTATTTTTACCATATATACTTACAACTATATGAAAATTCATGCATCAGAAACAGTTGAAATATGATAGCAAAATTTAAATAATTGTAATTATGGCATTGCACGGTAAAACTTTGCTGGAATCAGGTAAAATTCAAAATTTGTCCATATTTCAATGAGAGATTTAAACATTTTGATAATTTTTATATTTCTTTTCCACAAAACAAAGCAATAAATGTGCAAGACCAATTTAAATTCCAGTTACAGTGCATAAGATGAAAAACTGCATTTTTAACCAATTTGTTGAAATAGGCATTTCCATAAACAAATAAAAACTCATGATATGTTAACTTCAGGGAATCAAGAAGTCACCAATGTACCATGTAAAGTACTTCTTGGAAATAGTGCATGAAATAAAGTTAAGAATCAGTTATTTATATTTAATCATCATAAAATTAACAGTTCATGTAGAGTATAGTAGTTTTGAAATCAATATACAAATAAAATCTTGTGAGATATGGTCATTTTTTTTTATTGTAAATAAATTTTTTAAATTGTCAATAATCTAATTGGACTGTAAATAAGAATGTTTATTTTGACTTTATTTTAATCCTGCTGATTTTAAGAAGACACTACATGTTCATGTTTGTATCATAAGGCTAAACTTACATATATTTCTATCGATCACTGTGTTTATGGATTTATTGAAAACACAATTAAAATTAAACAAACCTCAAATTTATATGTATCATATTATACATGTGTAAAGATACTATTGATCAAAATTTTTGTAATGGCCAGATGTGTAATAACAACAATAGTAACATTCTGATTGGCTGAAGGTGAGAAAAAAATGAAGAAAATTACAATTTTCAAGCTTAAAAAAATCTCATGTAAATGGAAACTGATGTAATATAAGATCAAGATATTCTGTAGTTGATTCCTGTATATTTTGATAATGTATTTTTATTTTAAAAGTTTACTGATATTGTTTTGATTTTGAATTTTTTTTTATATTGGCATCAATCCATGTGTGAGTGATGGAGGATAAGTCCTGATGTTGTAGTATTGTTATAATTTTATTCATGTGGTTTATATCCTGTTGTCATGGCTAGAGCATGATATCTAGAATTTTACTGTCATATGTGTCACACTAATGAATAAATTGCTATTAATTACAACTAGAAGGATAGTGTAATTAAGTTTGGTAGCTCATGAAGAAATGGAAAGCTTTTTGCATGCAAAAATACAGAATAACATTTTTAACAGTTATCGTAAAAAAAATAAAACCATGGTACATACCTGGTACATACTCATTTGTTTTAAGTAAACATTTATAATATACTGTCTTGAAATCAGAGAAAAAGTTTACATAGAATGTTTGTTTGGAGCTACAAAAAAGTAATGACACATATGTAGTGTCTTAACTATGTACAAGGGAAATGCATTAACTTTGAATAAAAACAAACCTTTAAGGAAAGGTTTAAAGTTAATGAAGCAAAACATCAATTTATAATGTTCAGTAGTTACGGTACTTATACACAACAAGTCTGCCCATAAATACAAAATGTACTACAGTTCAGTAAATTATCAGTGCTACTTGTACAGTGTACTAAGTCCACAATCTGACAATGGGTAATGGCAATATGATATTATCGACCGGTTGCATGTTGCTCTTTGAGAATATTCATATCAGATAGTTATAGATGTAGGGGTTGTTTTTTAGGACTTTATGTGTTGAATTACATCTTAACAAAAATGTTAATATTCTGACTTTTTTAAAAATATATTTGTGCTTTGAATTTCAGAAGAACTGAAGAAAGACAGTGATATTCGCAAGTAAGCCATGTTTACCTAGTATTAATGCTGCAATATAGAACTTTTTCATAACAAACAAACAAATCATGAGAAGAAAATGAAGTAATTGATAATTATCATGATTTGATGGTTTCATTGACCAGCTGTTGTGATTTGGTACAAGAACTTTAATGTAACCTTTTATGTTTGCATCTAATTCACAAACTTTACAAATTATTTAATTACTATCAAGACAATTAAACATGACCAGTTTTGGTAAATATATGTTGTGTTGTGAAGTTTATTTTGTGACAAAATCATCATTTGGATTAACTTATTATTGATTATACTATGAGTGAACTATATAGACTCATGGTGCTTATGTTGGTACATCAAAATCAAGTATCAGATTATGTTGTCATAATTAATGAGTATTGAGTTATAATTAATGTATTTGACATGTTTCAGAGATGACAAGCTGTCCTCTGCCCTCCCCATGCCTATACAGGCTGGCTTTGTGGAGGCAGACAAATACTTCATGCCATTTGAATTGGCATGTCAGTCAAAGAGTTCTCGCATCGTAAACACTGCACTTGACTGTCTCCAGGTAAATTTTTTAGCAAACCTATTGCTGTAAAGACATTTTCTACCTTTTAATTGTGGTTGTTTATATATCAAATGTGTCATTCTTTTCTCTTTGAACAATGGGAAGGGAATCATTTGTATGCAGATTGGAGTATTATCAGCAGCAGTAAAATATTTTATGTTAACTAACATTTATGTAACAGTTGTCTCGTTGTATATCACTGACCAGAGAAACAAACTGATGACTCACAACCTTAAATCAATCATTAACAGTTAGTAAATCACAAAAACACTTCCCTCCATTCAGTCACATAAAAATCACCACCTCCAAAACACCTCCTTCTATCCCGCCTCCTGAAAAAATTCCTATTGCCAAGATGGCTTACCATCATTTTGGTATTTACTTTGTGTATATATCCAATTTTAGTATTTGGAGCACAATGTATTGGACACACTCCACAATAAATTTGTGTAATTAATCAGGGATGACAACAGAGCCAAGGATTGTTTGATGCTGAATATATCCGTCCACCCATTTAGATGTATACCATATAGTTGAATATTTTTACAGTCTAAATCTTTAAAATTTTCATTGAAAATGGATTTTTAGTAATTAAATTTTTGCTATATTAGGATATGAGAAGACATAATTTTGTTACATGAAGCAGTAAAAAAACTACATAAGTATGGATCCATCATTCAAGTAGAACTCAGTGAGATTTACTAGGATTTTATACTTAAAATGGAATGTGTTATGTGCCACAAACAATATTATGCTGGTATATATTATCTGCTAGCTTGACATTGATCAACTGTGTGCCCTTCTGGTGACAATGTCTATATGACAGTGGTCTTGAGTTTTAGTTGATATTTTAGAAGATTATATTTATGCCTGTCAATTAAGATTTTAAAGATCAGATTTATGTGATCACATTAAATGAATTTTGGGAAATATTATCCCAGTGAAAATAACCAGTGATAAATACCCTGTGTGTATACATCCAATTTAACTGCTGACCACTAGGGTCTGTGTGATGACATGCTTGGCTAAGTAATGATATGCTTGGCTAATTTGTGTCTCTGTGTATTTGTTCCTTGCAGAAATTAATTGCATATGGCCACCTGACAGGAAACACCCCGGATAGTACAACTCCAGGAAAGCGTCTCATTGATCGTATTGTTGAGACAATATGTGGCTGCTTCCATGGACCCCAAACAGATGAAGGTGTCCAGCTTCAAATTATAAAGGTAAAGAGTCCCATTGATGTTAAATGACAAGATGGAAGTCATTAACTTATGATACAGTTGATGAAGCAATGTGGTTCCCATTTTGTTGGTATTATCTTCTGGATTTGTGGAATACAAATTATGGATATTGTAACTTTTTGTAAACACATGCATGCAACACATACTCACCTTAGTTAGCTTTCTCAGGAAGGTCATACTTAAAGGAACATAGCTGTTGATAGGGATTTAAAGAGGATAAAACCAAACTAAAACAAATTATCAATTATAGGTGTTGAATTTGCTACATATTAGAATTAATACTGTATCATAAACATCCTGCAATAAACCTAGGTGTGATTACACAAAGATTTTGGCTCAGATTTAGGGGTGGGCTTGTCGAAGGAATTCTTATGGTTGTATTAGTTGTTTCCAGATATATGCAGTTACACAAAACTTTATCAAAGATGATAAATTTCTTAAAAATATTGTAATATGAGATAAATTATATTCCTTACAGGCGCTTTTGACTGTGGAGACGTCCAATACATGCGAGATACATGAGGGGACAGTACTCCAGACTGTACGCACCTGTTATAATATTTATCTGGCCAGTAAAAACCTGGTTAATCAGACGACAGCCAAGGCAACACTAACACAGATGCTCAATGTCATTTTCATGCGAATGGAGAATCAGGCGGTATGTTTGATGTTTGATTTTTTCTATACAACATCGTATTTCCACTGACTTAAATTTATTGACAGATGCAGTGTAAGATGCAAAATAATAAAGTCAGTTTTCACTTGTTGATATTAGATAATTCTGCCTGTTAAAGAAAATTCTTTGATAAATTTCTTTTCAGTTGTAGATTTATCATAAATATTTGAAAAATGAATCATTGATGATTTAGATTTAGAATTCCTTCTCATTTTGTGAAATTTTAATGACCAAAGTAAAAGATATGGTTGTATCATTATTTTATCGCCTTGCATCAACAATAAAGAATTGTTGATATAATGGTGCATTAGATTTTATATCAAAGCTGTAGATATTTCTCATTATCTAATGTGAGAATATGTGTTATTGGTATCAAATTTTCCTAATTGTTCTGTTGACAGGTAACTCCAAAACAGATTTGAATTACCATAAGAATATTTATTGTATGATTTACTGTGTTTCAACAATGGTGATTTTCATAAGTTTCCCAGTTTGTTACTGTATTCCTTCTGACCTGAAACTGTTCTTAATGTTTCAACGATTGTGTAAGTTATCGTTTTTCTTTGAAAGATACAGGAGACCAAACAGAGAGAACGAACAGCTAGTAAATTGTCAACAAAAAGAGATGAAGACAGAGACTCTCCGAAATCAGAAACACAACCAGAGGTAGTGACTTTGTCCATATGTGTATGCTAAATTATATAAAATCCATAGACCCAGACAGATATATAATATCAGACTGCAGCAAAATGATCACATTTTGATATGTAGAATAAATATAGAGATTCTAAATACTGGTGCAAATGGTAATTAATTTTTTACAATGGCATTAATCCCTAAAATATTCCTGATGGGCTTGGAACCGATACTTGTCATGGAATAGAAATTATTATGACAGTTGATGTTATAATTTTTCTTAAAATCTTTCAATTGTAGAATGATGCAGGTGTCGGTGATATGGAGACGCCCAGGGAACAGGTGAATGGCCCTGACTCAGGTGAGGATGTTTTTCTAGTCTTTCATCTTTAAGTTGACAGGATTTTAAAGAAATCACTATTTTATTTATCCTTAACTGAGCCCTATCCCCTAGTGTAAAAGCTTACATGTGGAGGAAAACAATTGGCAGAATTAAAAAAAAAAAACAAAAAACAAAGTATACCAGTACACCAGTACAAGGCAGTATAAAGTCTTTCATGAGTACCTATCTATCATGTGTTTATGACTGAAACAGACTATCTAGAACTGTCATTTGCAATCATATGCAGGATAATTTGTAAGATTGAAATATAAATAACATTCTTGCAGATTCAATTAATCATAACTTTTAATATGAATCACAACAATATGCTCTGAACATTCCTGGAAGCCATAGCAGAAGTGTACAATGGCCTAGGATCGATAGGTCATCAGGTTAAAGGTCAAATTCTAGAACGACCACCATGTTTGCTTACAATAAGAATGGCTTCATGTAACTCACAAGAAATAATCTGGGACGATGAGAATTTTGTCAGCATGCAAGGGCCTTGCTGATATTTGATAGTACAGACACAAATGTAGATATTGTTATATAAAGCATACATATCTGCAGTAGTTTTAGCTTAAGTTTTTTAATTTATGATTCTGGGACCATGAAGAAGGGACTTACTTGCCAAAAAGTATGGTAGTATAAGCAATTTTATGATTTAGGGCGATGATGACAGATGTGAGTTAATTCCATATTTTTTTTATGTCAACATAATACATATAATTAATTAGCTTTCAAAGGTCTACAAACACTTACCAGTAAATAATAATTACCGTCTTAGTAGAGAAAACATTTCTGAATTGCTGGAATAGGATATCAAATATTTAAAAAAATCTTTTTGCATTTTGTACATTAGTAACTCTTCAACCATTTGATAAATCAAGTAATAAAGTGACTTGATTAATTTAAAACAGGAGAGGAAAAAAAAGATGATGAAGAAATGACAACAGAGCAAGTTGTTAGCAATGTATTGGAAGACATACTGGACAAGGTCACTCAAGGTCAGTACCAACAAGCTCAAGGGTCATAGAGGTTAAATTTACGAGAAGGTTACAGTCAAGGAAAAATAACATGGGCTATAGTCAATAGAATCACGATACTGACATAATGTTAAGTTTTAAGTTGGTCTTGATATGAAACAGACAAAAGAAAGAAGACAAATTCTTCAGACACATTTTGTTTCTTAGAATGATTAAATGTTCATGTTTGATTCTTAAAAATGTCATTTCTTGATTCATCATTGATAAAAAATTAATGAATGATTAAGGGATAATTAAGATGACTTAAAAGTCATGAAGCAGAAAAGGTTTCTGTTTTAGAAAACCAAGAACATCTTTTGTGAAGAGAAAACATTTCCTAGATTTAGTTTTCGTGACTTTTATGAAAAATGTAAGTGGTAATCTCACTCTGAAAGTACCAATCATTACACGTGTGTAAATTCATCATTGTGCTAATTTGCCAAAAAGTCATTATGGGCTAAAATTGATGTTTACAGTATATATTTTAAAAAAACACTGTTGTTTCAGTGTTTTGAGTAACAAATGGTACTCAAAAAAATGCCATAATTGTTCATTCAGAAAATGGTAGACTATGTTTGATAATTAGCTTCAGATTGCAACCTTTATATAATGAAATATATTGCATTGTTGCATGTTTCTTTTTGTTTCTTTTTTGCAAAACATTTTCAATGATTCTTGCATTTTGTTACATACTTTAAATTATCTTAAAGTATGCATGTTTAGTAATTATCAAAAACTACCTTTATTAAAATTTAAACTGTCATACTGGAATCAGAATCTCTTTCTTCCTAAATGATGTCAGCATTATAATGAATACATAAGAAATCTTCGGGGGGAAAAATTGGAAAACATCTGGAATTCTTCCCAAGCAACAAGTACTTTCTTAATAAATCCCTGCTTTCATTTTATTTTCAGATTATTTAATTACATTTTCAAGTATGTAAACAATCCAATGTTAGAATTAATTATGCAGCCACATGTTGACTACTTTCCCTTGTATGCTTCTGTACCTCTATATCATATTTGAAGACAACTTGTGTTGATTCAATTTGAATTTTTTGTAGTGCTTCTGTTATGACCTTAACCCCTCCATTTGATTAGATATGGTTTAAAGTGCTGCCTATGTCCAGCCTGTCCCATCCTATCTTATTGCATCCATTCCTAATGGGAATTGCTCACTGAATTACTCAGAAACGTTTTTTTAAATATCAAAACATGTGAATGAGGTCACAATGTTTGCTGTGAATTGCACATAAGATAACCGACCTAACACTTAATGGTACCTTGTAAATTGTGTTTTTGTAATGCAGAGTTATCTGCTCCTTGTGAGCAGGTATTGATTCAATTGAGTCAAATCATTTTCCAGAGTAATGTTCATGTACAGCTTATTATATAACAATTAATTCCTGGTCACAAAACCAGATAATTCTGTATTGCAATAAGACAAAAGAATTTGATGATTTTATAATTTTGTTGAATCATATACTTTCATTCTGGAAAAAATGCCTCAAAGAAATTTCTAGCGGAAAATATTAGCTAACTGTTGAAGTGTATTAGTTGTGAAACTTGTAATGCTGTACACTAATTCTCCAAAGTTATCATCCATTAAAATATTAGAGGTGGTACTCTTTAGGAAAGGAGTTACATTTCTTAAGAAGGCAGTAGGCATCTTTAAATTGACCAGAGCAGGAATTCCAAAACCACAGAAAATATGTGCAGATGTTTGTGCAGAGTGATTTAATTTTTGCAGAACAGTATGAATCCCAAATATTTCATATCATATTTACATTCAAATCTAATCTCGGATAAATACTTCCCTCATTATTTCAAAATGGCAAAGGAAGAAATGTTTTCCTGTAAAATGAGATATATGAGAATCATGATCAAAATAAATATACTAGAAACAAAAGCACTGATTTGTTTCATGAGAAAGAGTTTTTTTCTAATTTTGATTTTCAAAGTAAAGGAATAGGGATGAAGAGTTGTTTGTTATAGATAGTGTGAAGCTTAATAAGACACAGCTTTGATGATCCTAAATGTAGAAATGCTTGCTTAATGCATTCAATTCACAGGAACATGTGCTCAAAGTCTGGTTAGCTTAGTAGAAATAAGTGTATGGGAAGAAACATTTTTATTGATTTCATAATTAAAAAAAACCATGAAGATCTGTTGATGAAACTTAAATAAAACAAGAATATTTTTATACAAAGTGAAAAAAAGGAGTTACCAGATTTTGAGCAACTGGACAGTGATAACAAATATAAAATTCAGTAATGTATTTAGTGAATGATTGCCTTTTTTCCCTTTTTTCTCCTTTACTCATTGGAACTTCATAGTTCAAGTTTCACCTCCTCCAGAAAATGCTGAGCCGAACCCTGATGCTCCAGAATTACAAGGGAGTGCTAACAATTCAGTTTCCTCCCAGTCTTCCCAGAATGCAACAGAACCTTCCCAGAATGCAACAGAGACTGCTCCATCACTCTCGGGGAGTAGCAAATCAGGCAGTTCTTTTGGTAATTGTGTTGTTCATACAAAGTTTTGTTACTAGGAAGTTTTAGGGAAAGAAGAGAATGTTATATAACATTTTGAACAAGTTGTCCTTGGGTTATTTACTTATTTTTTTCCAAAAGATATCTGTAACGGAACTTTTGATTGTTATTATTTTAAATGTATTAGCTCATTTATTGCTAAAACATATATACCAGTAAATATCTATACAGTGTTTAAGTTTGCGTCATTGACTGTATATTACATTTGAAATTAATTACGTGCTGGAAGTTTCTGAACATCATATCATAATCAAAAAAATAATAGACCATGCAAGTCAAATATTGCAAGTCTGAACATGTGTTGTGAATACTGATACCTTTTGTGAAGTATTTATGAGATTCATTCTTAGTCATCCAATTTGCAATGAAAATTTGTTTCTTTTTAATGAGAATCTGTTAAGGACTTGCACAGTAAATCAGTAAATCTAGAGTTATATATACATTTAAAACGTTATGGAAGGTTGACTGCATTAAATATTCCCCAAGATGTGTAGCAGACTAAATTGTATTAATTAAAATGGCTTATTGTCAGCCTTCACTGATCATGACTAACTGTATGTGTATATTAACTACACTAGAACCTGACTTGTTTAATCACATGGAATGATTAACTTCTAACATTTTACAACGTCACACGATAATAGATAATACAATTACTGATGGTAGGGAGTAGATTGAATTTAGATATTAGGTAGAGAGATTGAATCATATTTATTTCATTAGTTTTAGTGTTATTATTTTAGATCATTTAGCAGTCTAACCATAGATTTAGAATAAATGGATAATTACTTTGAAAATGCAGAGTATTTGTTTAGGTTACCTGTCCCAAAGGGTCAGGTGACCTTATGCTGTGGTGCTCGTCTGTCCATCAGTCAGTATGACATCAACCTTTCATTTAAACAACCTTTTCCCAATAACCAACAGACCAAATGTCATGCTATTTTGCTTGAGTGTTAATATTTTGTGGAAAAGGTGTATCTAGGTAAAAGCCAGACAAATTTCAAGAAAAAGGAAGTGACATTTACCTATAATTAAGGTCATAACTGCTACTGTTTGGAGTTGAGTATTAGAAGCTGTTTGTTATGGAAATTGGTTAAAATTGATTAGATATGCCCAATTTGATTGCCAGTGGTTTACTTGTTAATGCATTTGTGATGAACACCGATTCTATTTTTGATGAATGTGAATTCCAGGTGAGCAATGCAGGCCCATTGGATTTTGGTTATTTGTTTTCTATGATAGCAAAAAATGAAATAAAAACAGGCATGTTACTGTATGTCATTAATATTTATCTAACATTAACATTAATCTGATGCTTAGTTTTAGTTTAGTTACAATACTTTAATACTGAAGCATGTTAGACGTTTCTTGTCATGGTTTGCTGGGATTTTTTTTCTCTGCTTTCTGGTGTTAGTATATAATGCCCTTCTTACCCCCTTGATGACCTGTCCAGGTATTCATTGTTTAGGACAAAATGACATGGCCTTGATATTTATTGTTTTCATCATGTTGACAATTTCTCTCTTATAAAAATTTCACAATACCAGGTCTAAACAAACTGGATGGAGATGATGCAGATGTCCTCGAAAGCCAGGAGGGACAAGAAATGGCTCAGGGAGTTTTCTCTCACATTCTACAGAAGGATGCATTTCTTGTCTTTAGAAGTCTGTGTAAACTCAGCATGAAACCCCTTGCTGACGGTCCCCCAGACCCAAAGTAAGTGCTGTATAATGAAACCTCCCTCTGATGGTCCCACTCACTCCCAGGTAAATAGTGTACAGTGAAACCTTCCTATGATGGTCCCACTGCCTCCCAGGTAACTACTGTATATTGAAACCTCCCTCTGATGGTCCCACTGACTCCCAGGTAAATACTATACATTGAAACCTCCCTCTGATGGTCTGACTGACACCCAAGTGAATAGTATACATTGAAACCTCCCTCTGATGGTCTGACTGACTCCCATGTCAATAGTGTACATTGAAACCTCCCTCTGATGGTCTGACTGACTCCCAGGTAAATAGTGTACATTGAAACCTCCCTGTGATGGTCTGACTCCCAGGTAAATAGTGTACATTGAAACCTCCCTTAGAGGGGCATAATAGCTTCCTTAATTACATCACAGTTTCTAAAGTAATTTCTATTGATAGCTCCACAATACCATATGAATTATATTAAAGAGGGAAAAAGAACCAATAAAGATATTCAGTGGTAAGCCCTCTTGGATCTCTTGTTTAGAATTTTTCAGTACTTGTGTATAATTGATCCCTTGTTTAGAATTTTTCAGTACTTGTGTATAATTGATCCCTTGTTTAGAATTGTTCAGTACTTGTGTATAATTGATCCCTTGTTTAGAATTGTTCAGTACTTGTGTATAATTGATCCCTTGTTTAGAATTGTTCAGTACTTGTGTATAATTGATCCCTTGTTTAGAATTGTTCAGTACTTGTGTATAATTGATCCCTTGTTTAGAATTTTTCAGTACTTGTGTATAATTGATCCCTTGTTTAGAATTTTTCAGTACTTGTGTATAATTGATCCCTTGTTTAGAATTGTTCAGTACTTGTGTAAAATTGATCCCTTGTGTTCTCATTTGAAACAAAATATTATTGTATTACAGATTGTGTTTTTTCACATGGAGTCAAAGGGCAGATCTGTTGAGTTTTCAATCTCCATTGATTTATTGTAGGTCCCATGAGCTGCGGTCCAAAATCCTGTCACTTCGCCTTCTGTTATCCATCCTTCAGAATGCCGGTCCAGTGTTTCAGACAAATGAAATGTTTATAAATGCTATTAAACAGTATTTGTGTGTGGCGCTGTCCAAAAATGGGGTGAGCTCAGTACCAGAGGTATTTGAGCTTTCTTTGGCTATATTTCTTACACTCCTGTCCAACTTCAAACAGTACCTGAAAATGCAGATAGAGGTAGGTACACAGAGTAGGTCTTACTGACAGTTATTTATTTATTTGTTAAAAAAAAAAAAAAATTTAAGCAAAAAACCATTATCGGGTAAATTTGTAATGGTTCTACACAGGTTGTTATTTTCATTGGTTTTTGATTTTCGATTTAGGTAAATCTACACAAATGTGAACCATTAGAAAAATCTAGACTTTCCTATAATCAGGATTTCAATGACTGAATTATTTCTACTGAATTTAATTCTTGTTACCAGCTCAGTTTTTGATATCATGTATGAAATCTTTATGTATATATGGGGTATTGACTATATCCACAGTACACTTTACTCAAAAGTTAACTCAAAACTTTTTTTATTAGATACAATATATATATATGGATGTTATAAACCTTTATCACTTTTGTTTAAGTATTAAGTTTTTATGCGTGTAATTACTTTTTGTGTTGCTCTATTTTTCCTTTGTGTCTGAAAATTCTCTACTGTTTTTTGTGTTAGGTGTTCTTCAAAGAAATTTTCCTGTCTATCTTGGAGACCCCCAGCAGTTCCTTCGACCACAAATGGATGGTTATACAGGCTCTGACTAGGATATGTGCAGGTATGCTTGACATAGAAATATGTTTCATGTTTAGAAATGGAAAGTATTAGAATGAATCCTGCTAAAAGTACACCTTACCTGTGAAAGAGATAAAGAAGAGAAAACAATTACTGAAAAGACAAGCAATTAAGTTTGTCCATTCTGATAATGAAAATGGATTTTACCAAGTTAAAAAAATTGAGAAATAAAATCCAGTTTCTAAGGTGTGTTCATTTATTTAAAAATAAATTTCTATCATCCATTTGTTGTGATGGAAGTCATTTTAAGAGTTTCAATGCCTGATTAGATATGATAATGTTGGGTGTGTGTTTATTGTCCTTTTTCAGAACTCTTGTATCAATTAAAAGTTAATTTGTGAATTTGTTTCGACAGATGCCCAGTGTGTTGTAGATATATATCTTAACTATGACTGTGACTTGACACTGGCCAATATTTTTGAACGACTGGTGAACGATTTATCAAAGATTGCTCAAGGACGACATGCTCTGGCTTTAGGTAAGTATTGTATGAAAATTATTCCTTGTTTCGGTATTTAAGTTTAGAATGATAATGAGACCAGGGTGTATCAAAGATTATAGATTCAAAGTTGAAACTTTGTTATACAAGTATTGGTAGTAACACATTTACACATGATCCCTTAAATTGATTATAAAAACAACAAGTTTTACACTTTATGAAGAACAGGGGATTTATTTACTGTGATTTCTTTTGTAAAGCTGACAGCTGAAAATTTACAAAACCTGTTACATTTTTTTTAACTCCTTACTGTTATGATTAAAATTTTTAAAGCTCTCTTTGTGTTTTTTTTTTAATTTTCAAGGATTGAATTGTGTCTTGAAAATTATAGCTTGAAAATGAATCTAATCTAGTTTCTTTACTTCTGTAAATGTAGATAATTTTGTCATTACACAGGTGCAACACCAAACCAGGAGAAGAGTATCCGTATCAAGGGTTTAGAATGTCTAGTGTCTATACTGAAATGTATGGTAGAATGGAGTAAGGATTTATATATCAACCCTCACTCTCAGTCAAACCTAGGTATGTCCACTTCTGTTCATCACAAATGTATGAAGGGATTTCAAGGTTCTTCTCTATCTTAAATCAAGCTTTTATAAGTTTATGAAACATCAGATTGTTGACAATTCAGAAAAAAACATCTTTGTAAGAATATGTATTACCTTCAGAGTAAATTTATGCTAATAACATTTTATGCCAATTTCTGTTGTTTACAAACATATTGATGACACGGATTTAATTGCCATCACAAGAAGCTTCAGATTGATACAGAATTACAATCTTTACTACAACATAGTCATGCTACATTTTTACAGGTCAGGAAAGTAAACCTTTTAATGACACAGACAATGATTCCGGAAACAGCACAATGAAAAGTTATGGCAGTGTAAATTCTATCAATTCGACCAGCAGCTCACAGGCACCTAGTCTGTCTCTTGACAACCCAGAGGAATTTGAGAGTATCAAACAACAGAAGGAGATCATGGAGGCTGGCATAGAAATGTGAGTAATGGAGGGATGATAATTTCACTATTTCTCAGTACATTAAAATCGATGGGCACAAGATGTACTTTCACAACCAAATTGTGAATTTTTGATTTGTTAAATTATAATTCTATGGATATAAAAGAAAACAGCAAAAATTTTGACGTTTGAAAATGATGTCTTCCTGATACATTTTTATTAAGAGATGGAAATCATTTGTTAAAATACTGAAGCATTGGGAAGTCTAAATTCTGAAATAAAGATATTTTGATTTGCATAATAATCAGTTCAAGTATCAGATAAATATTTGTCAGAAAAGGGGATTTCCATACTGTGCAATATTAGAACTGTAGCAATATGTAATTTCCACTGTCATATGTATCCTTAATAAGCTGTGATGGCCAACACATAACTTCCTATTCAAAGCCAAGAGGTTGGCTTATTACAGAAGAAGGGGAAAACATTGTTTAACGATTTTACCACGCAGAAGTGTTATTGGTGGGCATATTACCTATCATTTACTTATTACTGGAATGAATTAAGTATTTTAAATGAATTTATTTAATCATTGTACAGGTTTAACAAGAAACCTTATAAAGGTTTACATTACCTACAAGAGCAAGGCATGCTGGGTACAGCTCCTGATGATGTCGCAGAATTCTTTCATTCTGATGAACGTCTTGATAAGGTTTGTCATTATGTATATATAGATCTTACACTGTTTGTTGTCATTGTTTCAAATACTTATAAGAACAATAAGAAAAATAAACTGGTACTTGTTATTTAATGATAGATTTATTCAGTAAAATGTTTTTAATGTCTCTATGAAAAATAATAATTCAGATTGTTTTTCAAGCGTTAAAAACAGTTAATTTTTTTCTATTATTCTTACATTAATTCCTGACAGTAATGCCATCCCTTTTCATTTCAGACTGTTCTTGGTGATTTCTTAAGTGAAAATGAAAAGTAAGTGAAAATTTGTGTATGTAACAAAGAACCAGTCTTTATGATATCATAACGCTCACAAATGTTTAAAAGGATTAAGCCTTATATTTATACTGGAGGAGGATGTCAACTTATATCTGTTGATTTACATGTCGATAAATGATAAATAGAAGTTTATGTGGTTTTTGCCTGTTGCTGACCTGTAAGCCAAACTCTTACACTTGGGTGAGATATCTCGGCCCATGGAACAGGCCCATGTTTGTTTATTTTTCTCACATAAAAAGAAAAGGGTAAGAAATAATAGACTGTTGTGCTACCTATTCATTTCACCATCATCAATGGCTCACAAATTCCTCGAAATTGATGTTATCAATTTGCAATATAGTTTCGATACATAGAATAATGACTCTAACTTATTGTCTCAGCACCTGCCAGCTGTCTTGCCTTACCCTGTATGAGGTTTAGTAACCCCATCCCAAGTAATCACGGGATCACTCTGCAAAATACCTTGTGAGAAATGAAGGGTGCAGATGAGAATGGGAGGGTGTGTGAATGTCTTCATTTCTGTATTATAAAGAAAATGTTTTTTAAAGTAAAACACTCTGAAATTTTTTTTTATTTCATTCCATTTTTTAGACACAACAAGGAAGTGATGTATGCGTACATTGATCAGATGGATTTCACAGAGATGAATTTTGTTCCTGCCCTTCGACGGTTCCTGGAAGGATTCCGATTACCAGGCGAAGCTCAGAAAATTGATAGACTTATGGAGAAATTTGCATCACGGTATTATGAGTGTAACTCCAAGTAAGTATTGGTATTGTGGATATATCAGACTCTTATATCTCTCCTTAGTCCTTTTTTCCAATTGGATGCCTATTTATCCCGAAACACCTGAAGGTTAGGGATATTTTGATTTCTGCTTTGGACAAGATTGAATAATTTCATCATAATTGCTACCATGCCGGTGTCTCTCTTTCAAGATTATAAATATTTGTATTATAAATTTTTTTGCCATGTTCACAGGAGCTATTAGATTTTTTTTTTGATCTACATTACTTCAAAAATTAAAGCAATAACACTATCATAGAACCTTGAATTTATATATACATGCATATTCTTAATACAGTGAAGCCTGGGTTCAGGTTTTTGGAGATCAGGATTAGGTACTGTGTCCAAAAGGAACTTTACAAGTTGTATCTCTGCAATATTTCATTTGGTTTACTGTTTTAGTTTTGAAGTATTGAATAAAATATATACTGCTTAGTAAGTGTAATGTTATTTTTCTATTATGTTTCTTTTGTTATTACAGTACAGAAATCTTCGCCACAGCAGATGCTGCCTATGTGTTAGCATATTCAGTCATAATGTTGACAACAGACCTCCACAGTCCCCAGGTATGTACACCTTGTCCCATCCCTTGTTTTCTTCATTATACCCTCTCCTAACCTGCAACCATTCCCACCCTTAACCTATCCTATATTAAGTAAAGACCTCCCCCCACCACCACCACCCACCACCCCCTTCCCCAGATAAGCCCTCTTCCCTATGGTGTAAATGTTACATATTTGATATTGAGGATGGCTTATCTGTAAACTTACTTTAGCTTGCTATTATCAAATTGATGATTCTGCAAAAATGAAGAAGGGGTCTTATTTGTACATAAATAAAATAACGATCACTGCCTTAAAGGTGCTGTAAAGGTTCTTATTTCCAAGGGTTCAGTTTTAAGCTATTTTCAAGGATAGAATAAAATAACAGAAAAAGAATGCTTTGAAAGTAGAATTTAAAGAGGAAATGATATCCTATCTGTGAAAAAGTACTGTAGAACCAGATTTTATTAGAGGGTTCAAATTTCATGGTTTTCCAAAAATGTACTTGGCACTTGATGTTGTGGATAAATCAGGCTTGCAAAATCCACTAGTACTATAATTCATGTCGATTTTCATTTGCTTATTATTTTGTGGACATATATATTCATGGATTCTAGTAACAACAAATTCAATGAACAGAAATCCAATATGTAAATGTAAATGTTTTGCTAGATATTTTCATGACTGGTTGAAGATCATTTTATGACTCTGAAAAATACATCATTTTTGCTTGAAGGTTTTGATAAAGCCACAAAAAATATTACCATCGGACAACACAACCTTTAGAGTGACACAGTGACATCCTGTAAATCATTTTAATTTCGTCTAGAATGCTTTATTTGTCATATTTATGAATCTTGCTTGTTTTATTTATCAGGTTAAAATTAAAATGAAGAAGGAACAGTATATAAAGATGAACCGAGGTATTAACGATAGTAAGGATCTCCCAGAGGAATATCTTTCTGCCATCTATGACGAGATCGCCGGAAATGAGATCAAAATGAAAGTGTCTGGTTCGACAAAAGCTCCAACATCAGTTGCTAGTATGTAATGTTGTTTCTTTACTGTGTGTGAATTCTTAAGAAGGATTTTCCAGAAAATATCAAAACAATATCTCGTTTTGTTGCATTATGGGTACAATCATACTTAATTGTGTATTTTGATAATTGGCTAATTTCTTCATGATCACAAATACTTTCATGAAAGTTACTAATAGTGAAGTGAAAATATGAATTCCCTGGAGCATTTATGCATTATGATTAGTATTTTATTGAAAAATTATCTTGAAATCTTACATTAAATGCCATCATGTGAAAATTAAATTATTGTAATTCTTATACACTGAAATAAAACAAGGTCTTCAAAATATTAGATATTTGAATATTGTGAAATGTAGCTTAAAATTCATGTGAATTCAGACATTTGTCCAATTATATTGAATATACACCTTGAGTATACCATAACTGAGATGGACTATTAACATAAATATGTTGACACTTTACAGAGGACATAACTAGTGACAAGCAGCGCCGTTTGTTATATAACCTGGAGATGGAACAGATGGCCCACACGGCCAAGGCTCTTATGGAGAGTGTAAGCCATGTGTCATCAAACTTCACCAGTGCTACACACCTGGAGCATGTGCGACCCATGTTTAAGGTAATACTAGAGATTAGTTATAGTTCAAATATAGCCCACAGATCATCTTTATTTTATGATAACTGGACATTTTATGGCTTAGAACTGAATCTAAGTTATGTCATTAATGAAAAAAATCCTTTCTATAGTGGTTGGGCCAGTTTGATCAGGATTGTTCCAAGTGAGGGCAGACCTTTTGATCTTATTTTGCTTTCAAACCAGGCTTGGCAAAGTCTTTTTAGGCTAGTATTAATACTTTCAAGTCCATCCTGATTTATCCCTGAAATATTGCATTTGAAATAGATTTGGAATTAATTTTTTTTCTGATATCTGCTTTTATGTGTCCAGAGTTACTAAAAAGTAATGATGTATGAAAGATAATTCTCAGTAGATTTTAATATGTAATTTTCCTGCTCCTGTATAGATGGCCTGGACACCCTACTTGGCAGCATTCAGTGTTGGACTACAGGACTGTGATGACATTACGATAGCCAGTCTGTGTTTGGATGGACTGCGATGTGCAATTCGTATAGCTTGTATATTTCATATGGAGGTAGGGACAGAAGTGATTCAAAACTTATATGCCTGTTCAAAGAAATGAAAAAAATTATTTCGCTTCCATCTGTACACATGATACATCATTTGTCATGTTTGATTTTGAACTAAAACTTTCTTTGTTTTCATAAACTTTGTAATGAAATCCACTCATTATCTACAACATAAGGAAAACAACACAGCAAAGTTTAACGTTTATACCTGATTAATCCATATACATGATTAATCATTATGCTCTTGTTTGAAAAATCTACATTTGAGACGATTTAATCCTAGATATCACATCCTGTTTTTCCCGAACAAAAATGTGTTTAATGGTCATTTCTTTATAGTTAATTAAGGAAGTCTAGGAAATGTTTCTTCAAAGCACTATATATGAGATATAACAAATGCTCTTTGAATGAAGTATTAGGTTAGATTAGTGGTTCAGTGCATACAGTATAAAGTATGAAATGAGAAAATAATAAAACATGTGCCATCTTTACAGATTGAGAGAGATGCCTATGTACAAGCACTGGCAAGGTTTACACTCCTGACTGCAGCATCACCCCTGACAGAAATGAAAACCAAGAATATTGATACTATCAAAACCCTCATATCTGTGGCTCACACAGATGGAAACTACCTTGGCAGGTCATGGCTGGAGGTAGGGCAACAGAAACTTTTAAATCCTATCAGGACTTCCCAACAAATGTTCCACAATACAATCTTCATATCATATAGGAATTTGTCCGAGACGTGAAGGGACCATGTCAGCTGAACTCACTGGATTAATGTAACATCAGATGAAGATTTGAGATATGTGGTTCAACACCTACCATAGCTGTTTGTTGTTTTTTATGAAGCAGAAATCATAGACTATCTGCTTCTGTTTTTCTTGATTGTGTCCTGAAGGAAGACACCTCTTACAATTTGTTCCTGACAGCTTATGACATGCCTTCCACTTGATATGTCTCAAAATCAAAAGTATGGAAATTATAGTGATGTCAAATTGTGACTTTTTAATGTTAATGCGACAGAAGAAAAAAATGACTTTCTGAAAAGTTGGTGAATTTTTTGTTGATATTTCAGATTCTGCGATGTATATCACAACTAGAACTAGCCCAATTGATTGGAACTGGGGTCAAACCAAGGTCAACACACAACTATCATAACCGTGGGAATGTGGACAGTGCAGGACACCCGATTGAGGCCTTCGACCCCGAAGGTATTACACTTATCTTGTTGTCACAGTAAGAGAGGCAGACTGTTTATATTGGGTAATGTCTGAGAATGAACTGAGACATTGTCATTCTCCCTACAACAAAGTTAGAGAGAGACCAGGAAAGTTTGTATCTATGAATCAGTGCCTGATTTGGATTTGTTTATCCTTTAGGTGACATTCTCAGGGAACTATGCCCCTTTTTAAAGATCTGAGTTTTTATTTTTTCCAAATAACAAGACCAAACAAGTGGCAAGAAACTATTCCATAAGAAACAGAATCATCTTTACCTGATGTTGGTCAGATAATAAGCAAAGCTTGAGATAATGATATCTTAGCCTCAATTCTGACTTAAATAATGATTTACTTTGCCAAGAACAAATAACATCACCTGATATATTATATGCTGGTATGCAGACCTTGTTTCTTGTTAAAATTCTGAAAATTAGTGGTAATTAGCAACATGCTTTTAAACAAACACAACTCAGTCTGCATGTAAGGAGGAAGACAGTATGAACCCATGTGGTCATGAAGGTGACTCCTTTACCTTTTCACATTGACGAGGGGAAATCAAACCCCAGACATTTAGGTGATAGGCAGATCGAATATCTGTGCTATAGTGCTTGTGTCCAAGGATAAGTCATACATTGTTTAGAAGAAATTGCACTACAACAAGAAGGTCCTGCCTCTATAAACCCAAAAAAATGGCTTGTGCTGTTGATGGAGTAAATTAATCCAAAGTTCAATCACAACGTTTATCCGTATTGTTTGTCTTTGATTACAGTGATAGCAAGGGGAGGTCTGGATTCTAAGAGACTAGCTAACCTACAGGAACAGATGGGTGAGACAAGCTCTCAGAGTGTGGTGGTTGCAGTGGACCGCATCTTTACAGGATCTGTCAGGTTGGACGGGGTTGCTGTGGGTGAGTTTATTGATCCAATACAATTCTAAAGGACATATTTAAGCTGTTTCTCTTAAAGATTGAAAATTGATGTTTTTGTAGGAAGAATTTATTTCATTGATGAGTATGTCTGCATTCAGACCAAATATTTTGTGGGGAAATTGTCTTTAAATGAAAATCTTCTGTCTAGGATTATCAGAATCAGATTCTTATACATAATTATTATAAACATCAAAAACCCTTTACCCATTTTCATTTATATATCTTTTTTTCATTTATGCATATATATATATATATTTTTAATAGCAAAAGATTGTAATTGGAGACAAAATGTGTTCTATGTGAAAAGTTTTTGTAACTTCAATTGGCCCTAATGAACTTTGATGTGTTGACAGGCTGTTAAGAATGTAATAATAATAATAATTCTAACTTTAATATCACGACCTATAATGTTGCAAAAAAACCTTGTTCCTGAAATTGTAATCTAATCTTTACATTAATAGTTGAGCATATGCAACAGACATAATATTGCAAAGTTCCCTTGTGATGGTGTTTGGTATGATTTGTAGTTGAGTTTACGCGGGCTCTGTGTCATGTGTCACTTGACGAATTAGCCAATGTCAATCATCCACGCATGTTTAGCCTGACTAAGATTGTGGAGATCTCCTACTATAACATGGGACGTATCAGGTTGCAGTGGTCTCGCATCTGGCAGGTCCTTGGTGACCACTTTAATAAGGTGAGGCATTCTTTAAGCTAAATTCATTATTTTCTTTTTTTACGAGGAAATGTGAGAAATTTGACTTCTCTGAAATCAGTGGGTAGGACATTTTGTATATTTGTGTATATTTCATCCAGCATTTTCAGTAAGTAATTTCAATAACTTGAAAATTGTAAGAGATGACATATATAATTCCTATGTAGTTATGTTGACTTTGTTAAGAGTTGCTGCAAACCAGACAACTCTGTTATAAAGTTATTTTTATGTTAATAGAGAAATAAAATCAGAAATATAAGAAAAGATTTTCAGACGTATTATTGTCACCTGCAATTTGTTTATAGATTTATGATGAGATACAAATGTGAAAGATAATTCAGTTACTTGTTTATAAAATAATTTCTCTGATGTATGTACCCTGCTTTGTAGGTTGGCTGCAACCCAAATGAAGACATAGTGTTTTTCGCAGTCGATTCCCTGCGACAACTCTCTATGAAGTTTATAGAGAAAGGAGAGTTTGCCAACTTTAGATTCCAGAAAGACTTTCTCAGGCCTTTTGAACATATCATGAAAAGAAACAGGTAAATTTGAAAATGAAAAATCAGCATCTTAATCCCATTGTGGGTTATGGTGCTTTTCCTTATCGAAGTTTGTATTTATCAAAGGACTAGCTTTTTAATATACTAAGCAGCATTAGAAATGGTTTGGTGTTTATGAAATTGTAGAACTCTCCAATTTTATCTTTTACAATAGGTCTCCCACAATAAGAGACATGGTTGTGAGATGTGTAGCCCAGATGGTGAATTCCCAGGCAGGAAATATTCGCTCTGGCTGGAAAAACATCTTCAGTGTGTTTCACTTGGCAGCTTCTGACCATGATGAGGGCATTGTAGAGTTAGCTTTCCAAACAACAGGCAAAATTATCTGTAAGTCATGAACTCTTAAATTATAATAATGTTATTTCTTCATTCTAAATTTAAATACTGTGAAATCATTATTTTTGTGGGGGATTTATTTTTCATCGATTTTGTGGGTACTCAGAATACGCAAATTCATATGTCAACGAAATAATAAATAGTTAAAAGTTGACATAGATAGTACTAATAGTATTAGAGGGGGAAAAAATTCAGTCATCTTTGACAGTAGGTATAATAGAAATCTATGGTAAAATACTTGAAAATACTGGCAATTAATCTTTCCAATGTTTGAGATAAAGGAATATCGTCTAATGAAACAGATAATGAAAACTTTCTGTTTATCAAAATGAATGTTTTGTCATGAAGATATTTAATCATTTTTTTACTTGCAGTCAACATTTATGAAGCTGCTATGTCTGAAAATAAACCTGATTCACATTTTTTGTGTTTTACAGCTAGTATATTTGAGAAACACTTTGCCGCTGTGATAGACTCCTTCCAAGACGCTGTGAAATGTCTGTCGGAGTTTGCTTGTAATGCAGCATTCCCTGACACCAGTATGGAGGCAATCCGTCTCATTAGGAATTGTGCCAAATATGTCGCTGAAAAACCACATGTAAGTAGAATGTTTTAGACAGTGGAAATAGAGACATAAGACTGATATGTAGGTGATGTCCTAAATAAATTAGGTTGGCTTTCATGTAAGTGGTTGAAACGGTTGGACCAGCTGAACCTGCGAGAGAAACACCAGGCACAGATCGCAGCCAAGGCTGGACTGCATTATATTCTGCACCTGTCTGAAATTATTTGACTGATTATCACTTGAGTTCAGAATTTCTGCAAAAAGCCGGGTCACTCTTTAAAAGGATGGATCATATTTTGTTAATAATTTCTTTCAGTCGAGTTGCCTCTTGACTATTTCATACAATATTTCAACAACAATAGAGAAAAAAAAAACTCTGGTTATTTTTATGTTTGTGCATATACGTGTACATATATCAGAAAGATTCACAGACCGAAGATAATTAGCCCAATCTGGTACTAAGTTGATTACTCAAATCTTCATGAATCCAAAAAAAAATCAGCACAGATAGTAAACCTGGAATAAAGAAATTTTATACAAAACGGGGATTTACTTGATGAGTATAAATGATGAATTTGTTTTGATTTAGATGTTCCGGGATCATGCTGGTGATGAAATCAATGTTCCTGAAGAGGATCGAGTTTGGGTGAAAGGATGGTTTCCAGTCTTGTTCGAGCTCTCCTGTGTTATAAATCGTTGTAAATTAGATGTCCGAACCAGGTAACATATTAATGAAACAGTTCACAGGAGCTGTGATGATTATAACAGAAATTTTATATGTATGATGTAGGTGTTTAAGATCATGGGTATAAAACTTTACAAATCTCTGTTCGGGAATTTTCCACATGGGTTTAAATCCACAAATCATATGTTTTTAGGCATATCAGAAAACTTTTTTCGAAGATCTAGAAAAATTCATGAATATCAGCAGCTATAGAGTTTGTGTACCTAAATGGTTATCATTAGAAATGAAAAGATTTATATTCAGACCAAGTGACTGACATATAAAAAAATTAAGAAATTTTGTAAAAATTGTAGTATTATGGTAACAGGTTTTTCTCTGATCAGAAATGATGCTTTTTTGTGTTTCAGAAAACACATCAAGAGATTCTGGGAAAGCTTTTGTTTAAGCAATTTTTTTTTTTTTTTTTGCAGAGGTCTGACAGTAATGTTTGAGATAATGAAGACCTATGGTGAGACATTCCAGAGCCACTGGTGGCGTGATCTGTTCCAAGTTGTGTTCCGTATCTTTGACAATATGAAGCTGCCTGAGCAGCAGAATGAGGTTTGTGCTAGTGTAAGTGACGGTTAGTCCATTAGAGGTGCTTGCGTCAATAACTAACCGTCACTAATGAATTCATGTCTGCCCTGCTGTGCTGGAATCTCATTAACTTAATGCTTATGGAAATAAGTTATTATAGTAGAACCGTTGCAATCAAGACACGAACAAACCAGGAAATATCACTTCAGATACCAATATATTATTATATTATAATATATTAAGTACATGAAATGATTTATTGGTATGTTATTTCAGAGAAGTTCTTACTTTTGGTATTTTCCAGGGTAGAATAAAGTTTTTAAAAAAATAGAGACCTTGAAAATATAATAGATGAAAAGTACTATTATTATAATCATGGCATCTGTGAAAAAATACAGGCTTTACTCCAAAATTTTCATAAAACAGTGAAATTCAGAAAAAGAAAAAAAATTCAAGTAGAACCGATTCTTACAAAATTGAGAAATAGATGTAGTGGTACTGAAGTGAGAATGTTTGGTATAATTTGTTGTATTGAAATACACTCTTGTTTAAAAACAGCAAGCAGTTTCAGATTTTTTGACTCTTTGTTTTGAAAGTATTAAAAAAATAAGAATAGGGGAAGATACATTATTTTTAGTTTTGAAATTATGGTATGAAAAGGAAAAACAACTTTTTTGTTTAAGTATAAATCTTGGTTTAAGATATTCATAAGAAAACGTAATGTTAATGATTTTTATTGAAAAATATTAGTTTTTTCTTACATTTCAAAAATTTTCTTAAGTTAAAATATATCTTTTACAAAGAAATTTTGTTTAGAATTTGCATTTTGCTGACTTCCCATTCTGTCTCTTCTTAATTCAACGACATGATTTTCTCGTGCTTAGTAATGATGCACAGTCAATACATACTCATCAGTGCATTATGAAAAGATTGACTTGAAGCAGAAGGTTATGGTTTACAAATTTAACGTTCACCAGTTTATAGACTGGTGTCTATAAAAATAGGGTTCCATTGTATCTGAACTATTAGCCAATATTTTGTTAAAATTCATATTAAAAGCAATACATGGGAAATTTCTTTATAAAAGGGAAAATAAATTTTAAAAACATGTTGAGTTAATGACTTTCATCAGCACAATGGCCAAGCAATAAGTCTTTTAAAAGCAAACTTTTTCTTTGAATTATTCTTATTACAAATTCAGTTGGTTTTTGAAGGTTTGACATAATTGATTTAATTGTTGATCTTCATAATTAATTTCTGATTTGTTACCATGGTTTTGTTGTGTATGTGTATAATGTGTAAGTTTATTATTGTTGTTTACTTAATACAATCTGTATGCTTTCTTTTATTTAATATGATCAATATTTCAGACATAATTGTGCTTCCTTATGACTAACTTATATGCCTTTGAATATGCTTGAATTTTATTCTGATATAAATTGATCAGAAGTAAGGATATGGGAAACTAAAATTCATATTGAGGCATTTATTCAGAGGAAAAAATATTTGTATTATAATTGCATTCCCTGGTAACTAACCAATTTGCTTTTTGACAATAATGCTTGAATGTTGTGCTTGTTTCTTTAATTCAAAGACAATCAGAAAATTAGGGATAAGAAAATATCAGTCGTCAGTTTATTGAGGTTTTGGATTTTGGAAGATTCACAAGATTTTGTCTTATGTATGAAATCAGCTTTGACCCCAGTGTGACCTCTGAGGGGTATCAACTGATGTTTGACCTCTGAGGAGTATCAACTGTCATTTGACCTCTGAGGGGTATCAACTGTTGTTTGACCTCTGAGGGGTATCAACTGTCATTTGACCTCTGACTGGTGTCAACTGTTGTTTGACCTCTGTAAGTGCCCTATCAGAAAAAAACATCGCAACTTAATAGTTTGGGAGGTGAATTTTTTGACAATGTAAATGTTTCATCATTATAATTTTGATTGGAGATTTAGTTAAAAATTTTGTTTTCCTCTTTAACAGGGTTGCCAGGTAATGATATGGGTAGATGTTTATCAATGTATGCAATCTTGGCCATTTTGGTGTTATAATTTTTTGCAATGGTTTTTACAACATTTGGTCCTGGCTGCAGTAATGATTAAATTTATGGCTTGTCCTTTTGTTTGAAATTATTATTTCTTTCATAGAATGGTGTATGAAACTTATCCTGAAAAAGAGAAATACATGTATAAGTAATTTCCTTCCTTTCCAGAAAATTCAATAGACCCTGTATTTGAACTCACAGTTCACCATTCCCAGCTAGATGAACACAAACCAAATTGCCTTTTGAAATATTCTCATCCATATAGTCACATCTGGATTAAGGAGCTTGTATTTTGCCTCTATTTTTGAAAAAGGTTTTTAGCTTGAAAAGTAACAGATGAAATCGAAATTGTATTGACCAACAGAAATATACTGGTTAGTTTAATACCGAAGAAAGTCACAGTCACATTCATACACTTTTCATAGTAAGAACATTTGGGAGTAAAACAGACTTTATGAATTATTACCAACAGTTTTTGTCTTTGTCATTTCCACTTTATGGATGGGACTGGGAGTGCATAAAGTGTTACCCATGTCCTTTCTATAGTGTTGTGTCCTGTTGTACCCCGTCATACATCAGGTCACATTGTACTCCATAATCAGTCTTATATCGTGAGATCCTCTTAACAGATTTGTAGTCCCTTCATACCCTGTCACATGTCATATCACATTGAGCCCTAACATGTTGCAAATCAATCTCATATCTTGAGATCCTCCCAACAGATTTGGTTCATATCTACCTAGTGCTGTCCTAACATCATGCGCTATATCTTATAATTATAATATCACTGTGGTCATCGATCAAGGTTAAAGGATCAAAGGTCACATTTGACAACTTCATATTTGATGATACATACAAATGGTATATGGATGGAAGCTAGCGGATTCACATCCATGACATTTTGAATCCCTGATCCTGCTTATGCTGAGTGAACTTTCAGCAGCGCTGTATAATGATGAAATTCCTTATTATTATCCTCTGAAATTACGAATTGGAAAAATTGACTGCTGAGTTTCCATTCTTTTAAGGATTCTAAAACCTCAAAATTTGGTAAATTTGCCCATATTCTTGCACAAAATAAAATAGTTATTGAAAAATTAATTTGAAACAGCATTGTTATATTGAAGTAAAACAATGACTGACTGTTATTAGCATTACAAAGATTACGAAGTCTTCAATTTTGTTTAGATATTACACAATTATGGAAAGGAGCTTTTCATTTGAAAGACTGAACATCAAAAGTAAATCACACACCAGTTTTTATTTTTCTCTCTCCCAAAACTGATTGCATTTACCAGTATATCTGATTCAAGGTTAACTGCTGTCATGTGTAATTTGATAAAATATGAAAAAACACCTGCTCAGAATAAGTTGTAGGAACTTCTCTAGAATTAACATCAACAAACGAATGAGTTTTAATAGATGTTGATGTGTTGCATGATGACCTAGTAGTGACCTCAGTTTGAATGTGGATATTGACACAACTCCTTATTCCTGTTCATATACTTATATATACATATATTTATAAAACATATATGACATGCTATTTGACAGCATATAACCCAGCTAATAAGATGTAGAAGTGTTTTCGTGCACTGGTCACTGGTATATATTGTAAAGAACATAAGATGCTGTGACAGTGAATGTATTTTGCATGAATCAGGCTTTTGTTTTAATGTAATAGGAATGTTTTAGCATGTGAGAAATAAATTGGAAATACTGTTTGTGAAAATTGTTTAAATTTTCGGACTCTTTTACAATGAACTTAAAATTAGTTCTATTTTGTAATTATGATTTAAATTACATATTACAACATAGTACAAAAGTTAGAATCATCACATGTACAGGTTAGGTTTACTATGCATTAAAGGTTTAAAAGAAGTTTCAGAATTCATAACAAACCAACTGGCACTCATATCAGTTGTGAATGCCAAAGCTTTAGTTATGTGTTTCCTGAATAGGTAATATACAGGAATAATACTGTTGGTAGTTTTCACCCATTATCATCTATCCAAAAAAAGGTTTCCTAGTGATAACTTGTTGAGTTTGTATAGGGCTTAAAGCTGCATACAGTGATTCCTTAAATGGAAATTAACTTTTGAAGGTCAGATTTATAAGTAAAGGTCATTGTTACAACAAAAAGAAAACAAACAAGATGTGCTTATGAAACACTAAGCCCCCCAGTTGCATCAAAATTCTGAAGTGGAACATTAAAACTGTACTGTGTAAGCCATGTGCTAATTGCATGCATACTTTGTGAAACATTTATGTCTGTATTGTTAACCTGCAAGTTTTTCAAATGTTGGTCAATGGTCGAAGTCGCTATGAATATTAACTTCGTCATTTCTAATGGGTAATACTAAGAAACCAAGGTGCCATATTAGGTCCACTGTCTATTAATGTCTTGGCCATCAAAAGTGATTTTATTGGTCTGGATTATTAACTCTTCTTAGGTAAAGTTTGGGGGAAAAGGAACAATCAAACGCAAAGTAGATAAAAACTTTAAAATAGTGAACATCACTAAGCAAAAGATTAAGCATGTTGTTAACGAGATGTTACTGGATGGATGTTTCTGAGGCTCTCAGTGTGCATGTTTTTAGAAGAGAAACTTCTTGTTCCTGCCTGAAACCCCAAAGTTCTTATGGCAATATACATGTATAGACACAAGTAAAATATACTTTCCTGTGGTTGCTGGAGTTACCTGTGGTTGCTGGAGTTACCTGTGGTGTGATGGAAGTCAGAGATGCATGAAAGTGTAACATTGTATTTATCTTGTCTTTCACTGTTGCTATTAGAGACTGCCAGCATTCGTGTCTATTCTTTGCTGCTGTGGGGTTTGGATGTGGTTATTGATGAAAAAATATCAATCTTGTATGGAAATTTTCAAGTCCTGATATTGACACCTTTGTATAATGTATACAATATGTACATAGCCTATAATCTTGAATATAAGCTACAACTTTTATTTCCTATAGTTTTCTTTCGATATCAACTTATTTTCAAGACTTTTTTTTCCCAAGGTATTTTTTCACAATTTTTGAAAGCAATCATTACCACATTGATTATAACATTGATTCCGTAATAAGAACAGTGCTTATAGGTAAAGCAAGGTTCTCTCTGACAAATATGACATTTTTGATGTAATTTTCTCTGCAGTAAAAACCATGTGGCTTAGTGTAGAGACCAGTTTATGGGTGATCAGATGGTGCAATGGTAATACACTTGCCTTTGACCTCGGTGTTCTGGGTTCGATTTTCAGAACTGACATGAAAATTGATATAGGGTCACCTTCCCAACTATGTAGTTATTACCTGGAAACTCCAGCTTCCTCCCACAGTAATACTCTCAGCACTCTTGGCCAGCAAAATGTTTAGGCATTGTTTGAACTGATAAATGTTGAATTATTTAAAAGAAAAAAAAATGGAAATCCAGCTTATTGTTAGATTGACTGATTTTCTGGGTTGCCTTGTTGTCAAGTTGTTTGGGTACAAGAATAAATGTGTGCAGGTTTTTTTTTTCTTTAAGATTGAAGAGGTTCAGATATTGAAGTCAAACCTTTACGTTTGTTTCATATGATTTATATTTATTTATTAAAACAAAAATTTCACGACAATTAAAATATATGTCAATTTTTAAGAAGTGTTTTTACATTGTATATAATAGAGTGAGAAAATGCAGTAAATATGATGGGTTTAATTTCTGTCCAATAAGGATGTAACACATATAATGTTGCTAGCTATTGTGTCTTTACAGAAGGCAGAATGGATGACTACGACGTGTAACCATGCATTGTATGCCATTGTGGATGTGTTTACACAGTACTATGAGGTCCTACACGATGTTCTCTTGATAGAATTATATCAGCAGCTCCAGTGGTGTGTACGTCAGGACAATGAGCAGCTTGCTCGCTCGGGTACCAACTGTCTGGAAAACCTGGTTATCTCAAACGGTGAAAAGTTCTCATCTGATATCTGGCACAGTACTTGTACTTGTATGTTAGATATATTTAGGAGCACTATACCACTCAGGTGAGTCACTTGTAATCCTTTCTCTGATCCCAATGGTTTTCATCCTGTCATCATGTTTATTGTAAATTAACAGGCTTAGCTTTAAAAATTTCTACTGATATTCAAGATGGTGATGGTAAAGAAAAGATGAACACTGGTTAGGTTTTTTATCTGGAACTTGTGCAGAGTGCCTTCATATTCTAAGAATCGAGGTCAAGGATGGGCTTATTATAGGGCACTGATATCATATTTGTCAACAATGCAAAAGGTATGGTTGGGCTTAACATTAGGCTTTCATTCATTGGCTGAAAGTTGTGACAGTGAAATATGTTTAGCAAGCAAAGGTTTTTGACTTGCCAAAAGTTGCTGACTGCAGTACTGAATGAAGGAATTTACTGTTTCTAGTTTGTTGACATGGCGACCAGAGACACCAGACACACCCGAGTCACCTTCATCTTTAGTAAAGCAGAACACGATTGGGGAACATGATGTGGCTTATGTAGGCGATGATACACAGGTATTACAAATTCAAATTTGATTAGTTTTATCTGCACTTTTAAAACAAGACATTTTTGTGATGTTTTGCATAACAAACACTCTTATGAATATCACATTCTTGAACAAATTTGGTGACAGTAAACAAATTTCTTATTGATGTAGACAGAGACTTAATATCAGTTTCTTTACTTACTCAAGTAACAATTTAAAAAACATTTTATAGAAAATTTGGATATTTGTAAATGGGAAGATATATATTGATCAACAATACAAGTCATTCTTTATCAGTCACTATGTTCTATTTCAGGACAATATCTCTGTAGAAAGTAGCCATGACAACCGTTCACTGAAGCGTGCAGACAGTAACCATAGTGTCAACAGTTCAGTATCACAGGAGTCACGAGAACATAAGATCCCACGTTCTAGTGAGTACACAGCTAGATAGAAATGATAAAATGAGCGATGCAACAAAGTTGACAATTTCAACAGTCCCTCAGAAAGATGATCTGTCATATAAGATAGGATGGTTATTAGAATACAAAGATATTATATGAAATTGAGGTAGTCTTGGCAGTTAGAGTTCCGAACCTGTTGAAATGTAACAATTTTTACTTCCAGATAAAAATGGTATGTATTGAATTGGCTGTTGAATGGATTCCATTGTGAATACTTGTTGATATTTCAGAAGTGAGCTCTGACCAGAAGTTGTTTCAGGGACTACTCATTAAATGTGTTGTCCAGCTTGAACTGATTCAAACCATAGATAACATAGTCTTCTTCCCCACCACCAGCAAGAAGGAGGATGCTGAGAATTTGGCTGCAGCTCAGGTACTAATATTGTTTAAAATGACTCCTTACTCACATTTTTTATTTTTACCAGAGACATGCCAGTTTTCGGTGCAAGTTTTAGACAAAGTATAGATATATCTTCTAAATTGTTTAAAATTTCAAAATGTAAATGCACTTTTCTGAGACTTTAAGTTTTGAATACATGTAGCCTCCCTTAAGGAAATTCCAAAAAGTAAGCAAGTTTGACATCTGTTTAATTGAATGTATTAAATCTCTTTAAATCTTTTTTGTTTATGGGAAGTGGTGAAAATTTTGTTAGCATTGATGTCAGAACAGTATTTCTCTTTCGCTGATAAAGGACAAAACATTTAAAGGATGTTAATATACTGTAAAATCGTACATTTTGGTGGGAATCAATTTTCATGTTCTTCAAAATTGCTGATTTCATGGATTTCATAGATTACTGTACCTTGCTGAGTCTAATTATACTTGCTGGAACAGTTCATGGACAGATAAATAAATGAATAATAAACGCCCACAAATATTACTGTACCTTGCTGAGTCTAATTATACTTGCTTGAACAGTTCATGGACTGATAAATAAATCAATGAATAATAAACCCCCACAAATATTAATGTACCTTGCTGAGTCTAATTATACTTGCTTGAACAGTTCATGGACTGATGAATAAATCAATGAATAATAAACGCCCACAAATATTAATGTACCTTGCTGAGTCTAATTATACTTGCTTGAACAGTTCATGGACTGATGAATAAATCAATGAATAATAAACGCCCACAAATATTAATGTACCTTGCTGAGTCTAATTATACTTGCTTGAACAGTTCATGGACTGATAAATAAATTAATGCATAATAAACCCCCACAAATATTAATGTACCTTGCTGAGTCTAATTATACTTGCTTGAACAGTTCATGGACAGATAAATAAATCAATGAACAATAAACGCCCACAAATATTAATGTACCTTGCTGAGTCTAATTATACTTGCTTGAACAGTTCATGGACAGATAAATAAATCAATGAATAATAAACGCCCACAAATATTAATGATTTTACAGAGGTTTATTGTTTCTGCTTATCCTACATTATAATGACATCAATTATAAATACTGCAAACATAATTTCCAAGAGGTCAAAATTTTTCCTGTTTTCTAGAATGGAATAGGAATGCAAAAATGGATACCTTGAAAATATAATTTCAAGAGAATACCATTGTTTTTTTCTTGACTTCCATGACAAAGACATTCAGTGTGTTTCTGGCATTTTGTAATGTTTCTTGTATCTGAACCATCAAAAATAATAAATTTTTTAAATGTTGTAGGGGGGTGTGTCAGTGGGCGGGACCCCAGCACAAGAGGAGGACCAGGGGATGTACCAATACCTGAAGTCAGACCAGCTCTTCCTCCTGGCTGACTGTCTAAAAGAATCGCACAGCTTCGCCAAGGACTTCAATGCTAATCACGAACAGCGTAACACTTTGTGGAAAGCTGGTTTCCGTGGCAAGGCCAAGCCCAATCTCCTCAAACAGGAGACTCAGAGTCTGGCCTGTCTTTTCCGTATTCTGTTCCGTATGTATGATGATGAAGCTCGCCAGAATGATTGGGATGACATTGAGAAACGACTCATTCAGTAAGAATCTTACAATGTCTTTTGTGATTAACAACCAGTTTTCTTGTTTCTACAATGGTTGTGTATAAATTCCTCATCAATTTGATAATTCCCCGCTTGTACTACCAGAAGTAGCAATCCAAATGTACATGTGCGTGTACACCTTCTGCCATTCAAAGTTTTCTTCCCAGAAGTAGGAGCATAACCTATTGCTGTACAAACAGAATATTTTTACAACATGCTGTGCATAATCTGTTCAAATGTTCGTATATTATTTTCTTATTTTGTGAAGATAGAAAAATGCTGAAAGATTATTCACTCTTTATTCAAATAAGTGACATGTTTCACAAACTTTTCCAATCTTAAGGTATTTTATAACTTTCTTGTTTACTTTAACACTGTTTCCATGCTCACTTACAGGACATGCCAGGAGGCACTAGAATACTTCTTGTCACTCCAGTCAGACAGCCATCGTGAGGCATGGAGCAGTTTGCTTATTCTCATCCTAACCCGCCTCCTCAAGATGTCAGATAAAAGGGTGAGATATCTTTATCTGTATTGGGACAAATAATATTACAGATTTTTTCATTTCTGTGACAAGTAGGCCCGTAGGAAAATATATGACTTTTCTTATGAGCAAAGGATGATGGCTCGATGATATGCACAAATTAAGTCTGCCTAATGCCCAGGGGCTAATGGCCAGGGCAAAAAAGGGGTCAAATTTACTAAAATTTCAAAAGTTTTCTTCTCAACACCCAGGTGCGTTAGAACCAAATGCTCTTCGAGGATTGAAGCATCTTAAGGTGCTTTACCCATTGGTGAATTTTATAACCCCAGGGTCTTACATTTCCTATTGGGGAGTAGGTAAAGTTTACTACAGTTTATATATGTGAAAAGTACATTTTTGAGCATAATTTGTTTCATTTCCATTGAAAATATTTCAAACTTGGTTAGCATATAGAATGTAGGATGATGGTTTGATGATATACACATGTTGATCCCGGCTGACTTCAAGGGGCAGATCGGTCAGCCAAAATTGATTAAATTGACTCAAATTTCATAAAATCTTCTTCTCAACACACAGATATGGTAAAATCAAATGCTTTCATGGTCTTAAGGTTCTTCACCAAAATTGTGATTAGTGTATAGAGACATTTATTGTGACTTAAAAGCAAGTTCAGAGTGGACAGGTGGTACAATGACACCTTTTACTCCGACATCCTGGGTTTGATTCCCTGAACAAAGGAGCTTTTCTCCATACTCAGGTTCTCCAACACAAGACCCCTCGCACACTTCCATCTAGACAAGAGTGGTTACCAGATAACAAGAGATGAGATTTACTTGTATCACGTTGATTGTAAACTAAACATATCTATAATCAAACATGTCTTTTGATAAAATCTGTTTTAGCAGGACTAGTTGTTGGCTGTGATGTTATGTATTTAAACCTCACATCCATTTTCTTTTTCAGTTCACGGTTCATGCCAGAGCTTACTACCCGTCCATCTGTGAAGTGCTAATGTTTGATCTGAAGCTAGAAATGAGATCCATCTTACGTAAATTCCTTCAGCGAATGGGCCCTGTGTTCAGCATAACTTCCAGTTAGTGGCATCCATTCAGTTCTACCATACTGTGGCATTGTATTGTAGAACTTCATTCTGTTCAAGCAGTCTTTGATGGAATAGGTGTTTTGTACTGGGCATTTATGATGTCCAGCTTTTCAGTTGTAATGTAAATTTAATTTATGAACTCAAACTTTGAAACTGTTCTATATACTGAAAGCCCTGGAAATATTTTAAAAATCATAGAAACCATGAAATGGTTACAAAATGCCTGGAGTGTCATATCTTCAATAGTGATGTATCCTCCATTATTTGATAGATGTATGTGTTTTATCAGGATGGTGTGGTGAATGGCATTTTATTTCTGTAGATATACAGTAGAGGCTTTTCTGTTCAAAATCACATAATATGTAGGGACTGACCAATGATTTCACACACATTTCAGGAGAAATTTAGACAAAAGTTTGCCAGTCAGTAGCAGTTGCTTTGATCTGATCAGATTTCTTTACAGACTATGAAAAAGGGCTGTTCCAGTAAAACAACTGTCCCACCCCAGTGTTTCTTTATGGGACACTGCCCCTTAGAAATAGACAGGAAATTGAACCATGGATGGAAGTGATTTATTTCAAAGTCCTCTGGTCAAGTAGATGTTTTACTGGAAGAGCCTAAAAATAGATATACAAAAAGTACAAACTAGGAGCATGAACATTAACACATGAAATATGATATTTTGAGAATGGGATTCACATACTTGAAAAATCGTTTTTAATCAATCAATGTTGTATTGCTTAGATATATCGGATTATTTAAAGAATTCTGTACATCCTGATAAAGTGTGATTTGTTCCAAACCTTTCAGGAGAACTCAATACTTGTTTATTGTAGTTGTATATAGTATGAATGGTAGAATTGTAATGGATGTGAAAATTAAAGAAAACTTAATTAAAATTGCTTTATTGAAGATTATTAAAACCATTTAGCAAAGTTTGGAAATTCTTTTCATATCTTAGGACTATTACACCATGTACTGGAGTTTGAAAGAAGGTTGATATTTCTTAAGTTGATATACTGTGGATAACTATTTAGAAAAAACATTTTGCTATGTAAAAACTGCTAACTGGAATTAAACTCCAATGACCATCAAGTTTGATATTTATGGTATACATTTTTATATCGCATGATGTATTGAAGCAAAACCTGGATTCACATGTTTTATAACATTCCCCTAGCAGCAAAATATCCAGTCGTTGCTTTCACTTGTGTCACATCAGTGAAAGAGTTAGGAAATTGAAATCTGATTGGTTTTTAAATTGTGAGGAGGATTTCAAAGACAAGTTTTCATATGCAGAAAGTGAAAATTTCTTATTCAGATCACATTCAATGAAAGTCAAGTTCATGTGTCAGGTTTTAAATAATTTCATACATCAACAATAGGGCTTTTTCACACTATACACTCTACTTAAACCTTTGTCAAATATATATTTTGTCGGTTGTGTAAGTAGGTTTAAGCCAGTTAAACTCTTAATTCTTCTGTTACAGGTGAAGATTTTTTTTTTATATTTTTATATATACAGAGTAAAAGTTCTGTATAACATGATGAACAAAGTTCAGAGGTGACTTTGGATTTTGATTGTTTTTTTTTCTGAAATGTTTATATTTTAGAAAGATTAATTTTTTTTACAGTGGAATTCCATTTTTTTCTGTAAATTATTTTTTTTGAGTTTAGACTCTAGAATGCCTAGTATCATTGTCATGGCTATTTCCCAGATATGTAAAATTTAAATTTCATTTAATCGTATGTACTTATTTTTACGGTCTAGTCTAGTGATTTGGTTTTACAAACACTGTCTCTTTTGTGATACTGGTTTTATATGATTAAAACGTTTGAACAGGTGAAAATAGGACCAAAATAAATATTCCTCTATCTATCAGAAATTATTGTGCCAAGGTGAAAAAAAATGTGACTTTTTTTCCTTTTCTCCTAAAGAAAGTGTTTTTCAGTTAAGATTGTATTGTCATTAACTTTTATATCCTGATCGTGTTGGTTTTAGTTTTAGTGTTTAAGTCTGTATATAACTACTCTGTGATCATACATTCCTCCTCTATATAAATTGTTTCATTACTACATGTTATACATCATAACAGCATATGGATATTAACTAGTATTATGGCACACACTTACAATTTGGAAAACAAACAACAAGGAAAAAATGCAGCTTTGCAGTATCTTGAAACACTATATAAGGTATTTCTTACAATGGTGTTTTAGACAAAACATAATTTTGAGATTTATTACAAAATTCAACAAAAAGTGTTTATTAAGTTTCCAACAGTTGTGATTCCACACGGTAGATATCATTTGGTAGTATCTCAAATTAATTGTAATGTGTGCATAATTATGAAAACCAAAAGTGCAATATATTCTGGTGAAATGTTGAGGTATTGGTTATTTATAGATAGCAAATGCAATTCAGATTTTATAAGTTGTGTATTAGAATTCATTTCCATGGTTCTTTTGTCTTCTAAAGTTTTGCTGTATCGACATATGCATAGAACAAATAGTTGTTTCCCTATCATGAAACTGAATTGTCAATCAGTCTCATTCTATACTGTAAAATGATATATTTTGGTGTGGCTTGTTTTCTTGGGCTTTTCAAAAACTTGCTCTTTAGTAGACACTTGATTTAGTGGATGAAGGTGGCTCAGAAAATTTACTGATACTGATTTCAACAGTTTGTTCACAAGAATCCATGGATTAAGAGTATCCACAAACTGTCTGAAAATAAAACGCCCTCAAAAATTTATGATTTTACAGTTGCTTTTGATACTGTTTATATTTTTATTTTTGTTTGTAGCAATCTTTTTTTAATATTTGGCATACCTGTCTGTTTAGGCTTTGTTTTAAGTTCTTAACTTATGTATACTGTATGTTATATAAATTTATGAGTTATCATAAATTGTGAAAATCTGTAATATAGTTGTAAATCCTATTTAATCCTTTATAAAATGTAAATGATATTTATCTTGAAATAACCTGTACATATTGTACATTTTAGATGTGTCCCTTTCTGTCCCTTGTTCTGTTGGTGTAGCTCAGATCCTATCCTGTTTCCAGTTGGAATCACTTAAATGGATCACTATGCTTCAGAGTTGCTTATCACATAACATTCCAGACACAAGTGCTGGAGGTGTGTGTGTGTGGTGGTGAACGTGTGTGTGTGTATATATATATATATTAGAATTCTACATGTGGGAAGACATTTTTTATGTTTTATAATGAAACAATTTGTTGAAATGTTGCATTCAATTTCTGGTGACTTCAGCCAAAACCTATGACCGAAATATTTTGAAATTGTCACCACTCAATATGCAAAGTGCCAACTTTATTAAAGTCAGCACTTCAGCATTGAAAATAGGATACAAATACATATGTACCCTGATTAACAAAATAAAAAAACTCAAAAAAGTTGAAGCAGTTTTTCATAAACTGTACATGTTGAATGGGAAAATTTAGCACCATGAAATTTTATCACAGAACATATTGTCAGTATGGCTTGGTTTAAAAAGAGTTAAGGTTTATTTTATGTATGATATGAAGTATGTATCAGAGCAAAGGGATGCTACCAGGTAAGACAGCAAAACTTGTGATAAACAATGATGAGATGTATACAATGTGTGTAATGTATCTGTTTGTTGTATGTATGCAGTGTATGAAAATGTGTACAGTGTATGTAACTTGTATGGTAATGTTACAATACATTTTATGATGTTTACATTGTATGAAAAATTACAAAATGTACATAACATGGTAATTTTACAATGTACATGTATGTATGTCATATATAAACATTGTATGGTGATTTATACAATGCAGGAAGATGTACTGAGGGTGTAATACCATGTAATGGTGTTCTATAACACTGTGACATCTGTACAGCTAACATGTGATATTAAGCTATAATCTGTGAAAATGAGGGACTATTTTAATAAACAGTTTAAACCACATACATTTCAGTGAAATTCTCTTTTATAAAGTACCACAGATATATCAGGAAACATTGCAGTAAGGTTTTCAGAACTGGCGGTAATTTCAATAATTAATGGCCATTACCAAGCATTTATACTGTGTATTGCCAGATTAGCCCAGAAATGAGACATATGTCTTCCTAATGATGTTCACCTGAATTTGCTCTCTTTCTCATGTTTGGCGCCATCTCTTCTGCCCCAGGGGGCTAATACTTACCATCTACACAAATTGATTCCTTTTCACCCACAAATGCTTCAGACTGAATTTGGGAAATTCCCAACAATTCCTACAGAAGTAGGATTTCAAAGAATTTGCTCATATTCCCCCATTTGGCCTCACCCCAGGGAGGCCGAGACCTAAACTTTATACGAGATTGATTTCCCTCCACTAAAGAATGCTTCAAACCAAATTTTGACAATATCCATTCACTTCTACTAAAGAAGTAGGATTTTAAAAAAAAAAACTTTGAAGAAGAAATTTTCCCCTTTTGGGCTCCTCCCCTCAGGCCCCTTGGGGCAGAGAACCAATACTTTTATAAACTTGGTTCCCCTGCCCCAATAATACTTAAGACCAAATTTGGTAAAAATTTGTTCAGTTGTTCATGACTAATAGCGATTTTTATCAAAACGTTGACAGACAACGGACGCCGCTCAATGACACAAGCTCACCTTTCCTTCAGACTAGGTGAGCTAAAAATTATCAAATGTGGCTGACTGCAACGCTTCCAGACTTTCTTCCAGGAATCAGCCGGATAATGTATTCTAAAGAAATTCCAATCCTCGTTTCCAACACATATTCATGACATACTCGTGTATGCCTTTCTTTAAAGCCTGAGATGGCAAAATGAAGAATATTTCAACTAGATTTAAGAACTGTTTAGTCTTTTTACATTTTCATTGCTAGACTTCTAGATTCCAACCCATCAGGTCCCTAGCATCACGGCTGGGCATTATAACAACTGCATTACTGGATCTAAATTTGTGTTGAGAGGTGTTATATATTTACTTTTATAATGGCCTATGAGACCCATTTTTTTCACTTTTTGCTACATCAGACCAACGATTTCAATACTTCGTATTGATTAAAATTCTATCAATAATCCTTAATAGTATGTCATAATTAACTATGATTTGATCAACAACTTTAATAGCATTTTATATTAACAAGCATCTCAGTGGCTACACCATTCTCAATACTCCAGGGGTTTCGATCACTTTCGCTCTGTGCATTCCTGGAATATGTCTTGGCAAAATTAAAGGCACGAGCAAAGTAATTTGATTGGTTCCAGGAGAAAAAACTTAACCAATCACCGGCTGATATGCTCCTTTTGAACACTACAAAGGAGCGACACCCACCTTCAAAGCTATTACAATATACCGTTATGTGACCTCGAGATTCGTTTGATGCACCTCAAAGAATCAAACTAGTCTTTTGGTCTTGTCCACAAGATGTCCAACATGGAACTTTCAATTTTGCCGTGACATATTTCAGGGGTGAACAGAGCAAAAGTGTCACCCCTGTAGTATCGAGGATGTGACTAAACATGTACAGTGTTATCTCCAACATCACAGTCTGCTTCTCCCTCCGTGGCGTCATTACATTGATAATACAAAGTGATATTAATCATTTGTATTAATACAGCACAACAAAGCTGATGCAGGTCAAAGTAGATCTCAGTCTAAAGTACAATCTGGGTCATAGCAGAAGTTATTATAATGCTATCCTCAGTCAGATCGTAATGATTCAATTCGCTCCAAGGCAGGATTCAATTCATGAAAAAATGTTCTCGTTTGATGAGATTCCAAATAAGCCCTTTTTGCTCTTTGAGTGTCACCTAGTGTTTGGTAACAGATTCCTAGAAGTGTGTGGACTATCCAGTGTCTGTGTCCTCCTTGTTGGTCATCATACTTGACCATTATCAGGTTATGTAATGCCGCGTCACATCCGGTCCTGTCTTCCAGTTCGTGGAAGCACAAAAAAGACAGAAACACAGCGTAGGGCAGTGAAGGGATGTACAAGCCACGACTGCATTTCGACAGTTCTGGTTCGAAGTGATGGAGGCAAAAATGTCTATCCTTAAAAAAGAGGTTGCATGTAAATATTTTCCTTATCCTGTCCACTAAAGTGTATCCTTGACCACAGAATGCGTGCGCATGCATTTCCTGTTTCTCCGGAGGTATTCGTGTTTCGTCATCAATATCAAACGTCTTTAATAACAATATCCCATTGCAGATCTCTAAAGCTTTTTTGTAATTTCCCGTTTTAAAATGAAAAGTTGCTAAATATAATAACTCTGTGCCAAATGAGGACGCTGGTATCAGCCACTGCCGACACTTCTTCAGACTCTTGTATCTAGTCTTGTTTCCAGTAGATGTTTCAGGGTTTGGATATGATTCTACAGCTACTGTTAAAAGTGTACAAACCGTACTATAGTAAGTGATAAGGTCATCTACTTCTGTTTGTGATTTCAACATTGAAGACATCGGACTAACCAATGAATTTCTGTATAGGAACATCCTCCGGCACCACTTGAGACCATCTAGTATTTCTATGTCCTTGTCATGTTCAATTTTTGCTAGAGTTTGGGGTCTTCCTAGTTCAGCTTGAACTCTGGCATACCTTAGGTATTCCATTATTGATGGATCAAAATATGTTCCAACTGCTAAACTCATCCATTTCAGTTTTTGACAATGATCTAGAATTTGGAGCAACTTTTGTTGATTCTGCCCGTGAACTTTTTTCTCAAACATGTTGTTAGCCTTGAAAAAGTAGTTCGGGCAATGACCCAATCTAACCCAAGATATCAACATATTGAAACAAAACCAGAAACAGTAAAATAGGTTTTTTTCCTGCCAAAACATTGGATGGGTGTTTTCCACAGCGAAAAATGTCAAAGTTTTCATGAAATAGGAACACAGAATGTCCCGGTCACTTGTCATTTTCTCTATCGAATCTTGAATTTGTTTCAGGAAATATTTCAACAAACAGTATACTTGAAATTGTGTGTGATTAAGGGAGTGGACTAATTGTCTCTCTGCTGTTATAAGTGATACCCTCCATTGTAATAAGGTGTCTCCAGAGCAGGTGTCTCCAACTGGAACAAGATGGCAGCCACCGTTAACGATTTTGTCTGTCAGTGATTGTGATGGCCAACCATACAGTCTTGTACGATTTATCCATTCGTTGGCCCCTTCAGGAAAGCTGTTACATCTAAAGCTATATACGTGGTCTGTTGGAAATGGCATTTCGCTCAATATACTACTTGGTCCATGGGATTCTGCTTTCATTCCTGTAGTTTCAGTGAATATCTTGACATTTTGTTCTCTGTAAATGTCACTTGAAACATAGAGTTCACCATCAAAAGAAACAAGAGACTTTGATAACTTTTCAGTGACCATTTCACCGAAATTGCCAAGCTGTAAAGTTGCATAGCCAGATCGACAACCAGCTTCCTTCATATACAGTATTGTTTTGTGTTCACAGTCCCGGGGGATCTCTTGTCCTCGATACAGCACCACAACATTTTTGTCTGTTCGCAATATGTCCAGATCCGTGCCTTGCATGACGATACCTTCGGGTTGACTTCCGCCATATGTTAAATCCTCAAATTCATTGCTAGAATTTCCGATATATTCCTGTATTGGCCATATCCTTCTTTTGATGTCCACCACTTCCGGTGTACCAATAACTTTTCTGTCCAGTAGCCTGGACAACAGGACAGACATCCTTTCATTTTCATCCGTATTGCCCTTAGCTGCCATGGAACTGTAATGAAGTAAAGTTTTTCTTAATGAAAGGGCCAGTCATTCAAACAGAGCATTGCCGATGGGATATGGGTACTAAACGTACTTGGCATAAGCAGGGACGTATAATACTTTACGTCCCTGACATACATTTTTGTAAGTTATTGTGTAATTTACACACTGTTTAGTTCATCGCAACGAATGTAACCAATGTAGAAATATGGTACTATGTTATAAGAAAATAAATAGGTTGGATTACCTTATATCTCTTTTGCATAAATCTGTCTCAATATGTTTGTCAGTTACATCAAAGTTTGTGGCCTCGCCTATCGATGCAACTTGCGTTGTTGCTTCTAAATTTAGATGTGACGTACGTATTATCACTCGACTTCTGGCCTAGTGCGTACATCAGTATGTGCCCCTATTTATATCCACTTTTGTTTGTGAGTGTATATGTTTGTGAGCTTTGTTTTTGTTTTACTTTTTCATTAACGTCATTCTGTCTCACTTAAACATCTAATAGCGTCATCTACTGATTAAGATATTACATACTTCTTTATCTGCACGTTTTCATATTCATTTCAACTCGGTTTTCCTCCCACTAAATCTGACGCCAGAACTATGTAATGCATAGTTATATACACGTATATCCTCAACTATACATGAGGGGTACGGGTGCCGATCGGGATATTGTGAACATAGATTTATATAAGATTTCTGATATAAACCATTATATAGATACACGATTTATATTCTTTACGAATAAATAAAATCTTGTTAATTTGAGAAAGTTCAGACTTTTATTTTAATCTGTACTTTGTGTATATCATTCTTTTCCTTTTTGAACTAAGGCAATCTTTTTACAACAATATACAACACATAAAACAACAATATCTGCGAAGGGAGTGATTTCAATTACAACACCGTCAATACTGCTAGAATTCTATATTGTAATGGACAATGGCTGGCATATATGCTCAATATAATCAGAGACGTATATATTGTGTTATATATGTCTCTGATATAATTATTTTTTTTACCTACATTGTATATAATCATAAAATATTTTAAATTTCAGTTGCCTTCCTTATTTGTTGTTGCCATCAAATTATACAAAGATAGGAGATAAAGCACGGTGGAGACTTCTCGGTCACTGAGCTGTTCAGTCATCAAAGTCCAGGAAAACGTAACGTCCCTGTGTAAACAAATTACATAAATGCAACAGTTTAACATTGGTTGGTCGACAAATCCCTGCACCAAAACAATTTCTAATCAACGCGTCAAATAAATTTAACGCGTCTTTTATTTTAAATTGCGTATCTTTTTTTGAGAGAATTCGTGGCGTCTTTCGTTTTCCATTTTAAGCAGACCTCTGTCCCAGTCACGTGACCTACAGAGTGCGGGAACTTCAAGATAAAATGGCATCCACTGCAGGACGAAAACATCAAGAAAATATCCGAATGGCATCATTTAAAGGGAAAAACTCGACTGAAGATGGCCTGAACAGACTTGTAATACTTTAATTCCTTATATACTGTTTAAATAAGTATCAACAGTCTCGGTAATTTATCATAATCTCCATCTAGTAACATTGTTGACAATGCCACCGATGTCCTGAGTAACTTCTGTCAATGAAATTGCTATAAAATAGCCCATAGACTATAATGATATTTTGACAGAATGTCAAGTTTCTGTGGATTTAGTTCTAATCCTGGATAGGGTCAAATTTCATTTTATCTTGTCGCCTATTTAAAGAGTGTTTTATTTCCTCAAATAAAGGGAAAACAGGTTTATCTTCCCAATTTTGAGAAAATACCCCACATATTCTTCGATGAATATATCTACATATGAACAGGCAGTTATAAAATTCAGGGAGACAAAAATGGCATGTAGAAGATGAGAGTACAGGTTGCCTTACTAGCAAAGCTTATGAGAATTTCCCGTGAGTGGAGCAGTAGAGGGCCTAGCTAGAGGCTGAAGTGTGGCTAGTTTAAACCTCGGCGAGGATGGTATTTTTCATAACTCCTTGAAAATAATACAGATTGATAGCATTGATCACTCCAAAGAGAAGAAACTAGAGAAGAATAAGATGCTTCTTAAGAGATATCGAATCTGGGTTGTAGTTGTCTATGATGCCAAAAATTGTGACAGATAGTAGTGTATATGTTAAGATTACAGGTTATCTTATTAGCTTCTGTTATTAGGAGTTTTGCTTTAGCCAACCGGTAAAGTGTCTGGCTAGAGACTACAGAGTTGCTAGTACGAATCCCAGCTTGGGTAAGGCTTCTTCCACTACTATGTTTTTGTCAAAGATCAAATACAAGCACAGAGTAGGATTTTATTTCTAATGTAACCCAGGTAAATGTTAGCTGCAAATATCCCATTCTGAACTAGAGGAACTTCTCTTTAGTATGATTGCATTTGGTTGATTATAGGATTAGAAAGCTAGAGATAATTTGTTCAATTCTTAGCGGAGACATTGAAATAAAAAATAAAAGACGCAATTCTCTTTTATGGTACTAAAACCAACAGTACTAGTACCTAAAGGACTCGCACAAGTAAATCACTACATGTTACTACTGAGCATTTATGCCAATAGCATTGAATTCAACACTAGTAACAACTCTCTAAATTCATAGAAATTTTTGTAGGATTTCTTTCTGGCAAGTCCTGAGCACCATTTCCAAAATTGTGATGTGTCCAGTTACAAAAAGAATAGTGAGTTCTCAAAATATCAGTGGATCTCAAAGGAAAAGCATTTCAATATTTGGCTTTAAAAAGTTACTGATAGAAACATATCTGTCAAAGGCAACAACTGGCATTACTATAGGTTTAATGGCACCTCAGACTCGTTGCCTTCAGAATTTAGCAACTGCAAGGTTCCTGACATTTTACACCTGTCTAAATTTGACCCACAGATATTGAAACGTGTTAAAACTATACATTTTTAGAAGGCCAACTAAATGCAGATAATTTATATCCCCCAATCTGGAGGGCATAATTTTTTAACAAATTTCAATTAAAGAAGAAATTTGCTCTAACTAGATAAACATAATCCCAGTCATTCATTGGCTGATTAGTGACGTTAGTCCTAAAGTATACATAAACTAGGGAACCAAGAGAGTGATTTTTTTTTATTATTGTCCCATTTCTGCTGAAACTGCAATATTTTTAGGAGGGGTTTATTAAGAACTGTTTACAGGAAGTTTTGGTAATGAAAAGACCCAGATCTAGACTCTTAAGGTATTAAATGGGCAGTCTGTTTGTGGGTTCTTTAGTACTTTTAATCATCCTTTTGACTAGTTAATATATATTTTGTAATGTGGTTGAAAATATCTTTTTGCAGGCACCATTGGATGGTAGAAAAACCTTGCAGACACTACAGTATTCAGCTGTGAAAGACCGAAAAAATTTAGGAAAAGATGCTCTCTTGAATGCACAGGTTTGTGAAAAAGAAAGAAAGAAAAAAATTACAGAGAAGTTTAGATTGCTTACTTTTAGTAATAGATTTAGTTTTTGGATTGAATATTAAAAACCCTTAAGGCAGTTAAAGTTGTACTTGAAAAAATTGTATTGGGTTTGGCCCACTTGATGAGGGTGCTCATCCTATCTTTGTTATTTTTCAAGGAGAAATGAGATTTCCTCTCAGATTGTAAGTCTCAAATGTCTGACATGCTAAGTGCTCTCAGTCAAAGATTACATGTATTAATCAAAGTTTCCACATCAGTTGTTACTGCCACACACCATGGATGACACATGGGCAACCACATAAAATTGATAAACAGAATGTTGACATTTTCGCGGAAAAAAAAAAGTAAGCTGAAAATATTTCGACACCATGTAGTGATTCATTGATAATCTGTTAAGGGATCATAGCAGTAAGACTAAAGTTGTTGGTCACAACACATGGTTCTCTTCAACCCTTTACTCCACCACAAAAAATCTTCGAAAGTAAACAATTGAAATTACACACACATGTGTTGTCCAGAAAAATTAGTAAAATGTTTTTGTCTGTCATAAAGCTAAGATTTTTTTCATTTCAGAAAGAGAAATGTGGAAAGGACACCATCCAGATTTACGTTGATCCTGAAACTCCAGCAACCAAGGACAAGACTTATGATGACAAAGGAGTTCAGACTGAAAAGAAATCCAAATTGGTCGATGATATTGACCAGGAGGCTTATGATTTAATGGTTAATGGTAGGAAGTCCCTCGTTTTGTTGAGAAAATACATATTTAAGTGTTTATGTGTATTATCAAATGTGGTTGCCTAGAAGTAAGTCATAATCTTATTTTCAAATTGTCTAGGACTCTTGACATGTCTGTGAAAAAGTAGCAATTTTTCAAGACCACACATTGATATCAGTGATATCTAAAGTCATACAGACTGTGTTCCATTAATGATACCAGATATCAATGTGAACACTTGCTGTCCACTAAGGATGTCACTACAGAAAATGAAAGACTGCACATATTCTTGTCAAGTTTAATCCTGAGGACTTGGATCTTGTAAACTTTCATATAATCAACATAGATAAAATTGAAGCATCCAATGTATCAAGGGAATACATATACGATAATTATAACACAAAACATTTTGATGAATCACCATTATCAGGGATAGCATACTTTCTTTTTTCAGAGGAAATTCCAGAGAATTACTGGCGAGATTTAGCTGAACGTAGGAGAGAAGCATTGGATGAATCATTGAATGAAAATGAACAGGTATTTTTTTGCTATTTATTTGGTTTATAGACTTTCATTTTAATGTATTTTCTTGGGATTTAAATCTTGGAAATTCTGACAGTCAAATTTATCACTTAGTAGATGTTTTCTTGAAGGCAGTTTCATTCAAATTTGTAGTTAGAAGAGTTACTTTATAACTATGAAGCTGCTTTCCAGAATGACATTTGACAATATTCAACAATATTTCTGGAGTTTTTTTTCTTTTTAGCAGTTTAGTATTGTCCAGAGCTTTCCTCTCTCAATTCTCAACATTCTCTTTAAACAGACAAAACAGTTACGTTTTGTGCACTTAACCAAACCATAAGTCAAAGGTTTTGGTTCAAAAAAGTTTGTAAAGTTTGTGATGCATTCCTTGATGGTGATAAGTTGGTAATATTTCAAGTAAAATTTCTGTAAAAAAGAGACATTAGTGACACATTTTTAACTTTACAGTTCCAGGTTGAAGGTTTTGGTTTAAAGAATAATTTTGACATGTTTTGAACTAAAGCTAAATATTCCACCAAAGTTTCACACAAGATATTTTTAGTTTTGGTAATGAGTTATTTAGCTGCTCAGTTTGTCAATAGTTTTTATATTATTATGACCTGTTATTTTTCCCCAATGTTAGAATACTTATATTTAAGATTATGAGAAGTGTTTTTCTTGTTTTACTGTGACAAACTTGTTCCACAAGTTATTACACAACATGTTCTTGTCACTTAAAAATGTGTTTATCCTTTAATTTATCAGCTACACAGCGAGATTGAGGAACTTAGGAATGAAAATGAAAAATTGACAAAGATGGCAAGCCAAGCAGAATATTTTGCTGATGTAATACAAGTAAGTGATTGGATTTTATGTTTCGTGTTTTGAAATTGATGAAAGGTATTGTGATCATATTAAGTGAAAGAGAAAGTGCTTTCTCATAGACTTATAAATAATGAGATTTTTTACTTTTACGTATCAAAAATGGAGGCATGGGTTGGGGGAGAAATTTGTCAATAAAGCATAAGATTTCACGCCCTCAGAAGATCTGAGGTGTGTGGTTCAATGAACCTACCAAGGACATTTGCATTATGTAGCATGTGGCAGACCTCCAACATGTTATTCAGTAAAGAAGCCATCAGCTTCTACACAAGGGTCAAATATGGAAGAGCTTTATTAAAACTTTTTGAAACAATCTTATGAAGATGTTTTCTATTAATTGCATTGCTTTGCATCTTCTTGCTTTCACTTGTCATGGACATTTTATGACAAATAAATGAAACACATTCTTTCATTAACAGGAATTGGTTGGTGTTAGTGAAGAAAAGGAGACAAAAGAGAGTGAAGAAAAATCTGAAGACCATGAAGAGGAGCCAGTTACCTGTGATAGAGTGTGTGATGATAGTGAAGATAGTATCTCAAAATCAGAGTGTGACAAGGAGGAAGATGAATGTTCAGAAAACAGCAAAGGTGAATGCCAGTCAAACAAAGAGGAGGAATCATCCTGATTAATGCTCTACCTCTGCAATGTCGTGAAATTTTTACAAATCTGAGAATTGGTTACTTGAGATCTAGACTGATGTTATAATTGTTGTCAAAAATCTAGATTTTAAACAGTTTTATTAAACATTATTGTTAAATCAGGTAGCTGTGAATTTGAATTTTAAAAAAAAATTGTCAGAAGTATTCAGATATTGCTTTTGAATTTCAAGATTTTTTTTGTTCAAAAATATATAATGTATTTCTTTGTATTTAAAGTGTATCTCATGTTTGGATCTCACTGCAATCAAGTTGTTCTTTTGTCATCGTCAATCCATGAACAATTTTTGTTTTGCTGTTTCTGGAGAAGCCCTGTATAGATCATTCTTAAATTTCTTATGTAGGTTCCACATGGTCTCTGTTTTTTGTTTAATTTGATGGTTTGTTTTAGCTATTTGAAGGGAGTTTCAAAATTACATATAATGAAGAGGAGAAAAAAAATCCGAAAAGAAGGCAAAAATCAATCTTTTTAGAGCAAATAAATCAATCAAAGATGTACTGGATTTTTTAGTTTCACATGGTTCAATCAATATTATAGTTGCTTATTAGTGTTTTTGTGGATATATCCAACAATAGAGACAAGTATGATTTTATAGTAAACATTTTAGTTGAGAAATTCTCTTCTTTCAAAGTTGGTTTTCAGAAAGTAGTATGCCTATTCACAATTAGTACCGGATTGCAGGAAAAGTTCCTTCATCTATGACTTGAACAAGGTGATAATTGTGTAATTGCATTTCATCAGATATACAAACAAATGTAGTTTTTCTTGTTTCATCATCCAAAGACCATTGTTTGACATCAGTTGTGCCAGTACAAATTTATATTCTTTTTGTGAATATACTTGTCTGATGTGTTAATCTACCTTGTACATTTTGATATTTCTTAGTTGGAACTTTTTTCTGAAAACTTTGTTCTTTACCATCAATATTCACTTTCTTCAGGGTTTTTTTCAAACTTTTATTAATCTTTTCAATTTTACTTTCTTTATTTTCTTATTTACTGAAATTAGACATTTTGTGTTCAACTTATTGGAAAAATGTTGCATTACAAAATTTGGCTTCTGATTACTTAATTAGCCATACAAAATGTACTTTATCATTTGTATCAAGGTGTATCTTTTTCTGTATATTTTTAATATAAAAGCTTTGGTAAAAAATACACTAACAAATAATAGATGGTTGTTACAGAAGATATTGTGTCCTTGTAAATGTGTAAAATATTTTGTGAATTCTTACTGTACATATGAAATGGGCCCTAGTATAGGAGTGATGAAACTGATAAAATTCCGTACTTAATCCAAGTTCTATGTTTGTTTGCATGATTTCACAAAGTTGAGATCTTGAATAACTTTCAGGGAAACTGTCTTTCTGTTTTTTATTTAAACAGTATTGTAGATAACTGCAATTGTGTATTGTATTCTGTGATTTTCAGTTTATAAAATAGGATGTTTATATTGGAGTGTGGAAAGTGTGAATACAGCAAGTTTTTGGAGAATTTTTCAGAGACCTTTAGATAAGTAATCTTTATGTCCTGCAATAAAAGTAAAACCTTGGGATGCTACATTGTTCAACATTGTTGGTGTGATAAATGAATATTTGTTCACAACAAACATGTTCTTTGACGTGATAGGCAAACATGGGACAGATGTTTATTTCTAAGGTAAAAGCAACAAATACTCAAATGTTTTTTTAATAATGAAATCAAAGTAAGTATTTTTTGTAAGGATTCAACATCACAGGAAGCAATAGTTATACAGGTATATCAAATCAGGTTTTTGGGGTATATGGTGATCATCAGTATGTGAAATGAACTCAAAACTTTCAAATGTTGTCTTTATTTCATCTTTGAAAATAATAAAATTAAGCCAATTTCAAATATGATTATAAGGCAATGTGAAAGAAGTGAACCATCAAAACAATAGATATATGAAATATTGTGTATTTTAATCCTCCCAGAGGTTGGAGTTTAGGCAGAAGAGATTATTCAGTAGGAAGTACCAGACTTGTATCCATGTCTACTGATGATGCAAGGTGTAAGTGGATTGTGCAAGAGTCATTTTTATTCTGTTTTTAATCCTTGTCAGTCTTTGATAATTTTGTAAAACTATTTAGATAATGTTGATATTTTTTAAAGAAAAATAAATAAAATTTGTTGATTTTTTCATGCAATGTTTTCTTTTTGCTTTTTTGGCTGGTTCTAATAAACTAGCTGATGTCTTGTTTATGAAATTCTGACTTGGATGGTATATGAGGTGGGCATATTGTTCCACCCTGTGAGGAGGATTTATCAACGCAAATATTGACAAGACAAGTTGTCATTGATTCATGGAGCTTGGTTAATTCAGTATTTCAAATTAAATAGATATCCTATTTCTTAATAAGTTATCTTACTAAAGTTCACGAGATTCACAAAAACTTATATTTCATTTACTAAATAAGATAGAAAGGAAATTTAGATAAGATTTAAAGAATTGGATTTAGTAACTAAGAAACATTAAGTAAACAAGACTAAAAAGATTTCAGAAGTTATTAAATAACAAGTAGATCTAGATTAATTTTATTTAACAAATAGCACGTAATTTAGTTAAACTTCATACTACTTACTAAATAGGGTATCTTATATAGAAAATCTGATATCTAGTTTATTAAATTATATATGTTTGATTAATCTTATATCTTGTATATTTTATTAAGTACAATATCAACATTGCTCCATGAATAAATTACGACTTGGCTTGCCATACACAAGTTGTTACAGTTTTAAAAGATCTATGTGCAATGGTATGCTTATACGTGTAAATTTGAATTTCTGTTCATGTGCCTGAGTAACTTGTAATTAATGAAATAGCGTTACCACAAGCATGGCAATATCACAAAAACTAGAAGGAAATACCAATATGTTTATAAAATCTTAATTCAAACACCAAATTGACGAACCAAGGGCAATAAAAAACAAATTACTGTGACCCTTTGGAAAGTTCCGGAATAGTAAGCATCGTCTGCTTCAGGAAGATGCCGTCGTGTAAATCTTGGCCCATTGATTAAGTAATGTCGCGCTCTCAAATGAGAAAGTCACTGTAGCGTACTTGGTTCGGAGGGACATTTCAAGAAGGTATCTTGTAAATAATCGAGCGTCCTTACACTGAATTTTCAATGCACGTACCTGGTGTTTTTGAGATAAATTTTGCCGAAGCGTTGCACACTTGAAGCAAAAGCTTTGATTGACATCAGCACGTAATCATACAAGTCATGATGAAGTTGCATACTAAGCCCAGTGTATGCTGAATGTTGTAGCATTCATTTGTGATACAGTGTACCATTCACGTTACACCAATATCTATAAGAATATTTGTAAATATTATGTTTTTTTACAGAGAGGGGACAATAACAGTTTCAATACGTGTATTTTCAAATTTCCCTTTCAGTTTTAAACCAATATTTCGATGATATAAATAAGATACAGAATGCACTTGAATATTTCACACTGTCAACGTAATAAGTGTAATATAGGACAAGAACACTAGTTCAAACAAGAAAAATCTTTTCATACCAATGGCTTCAATTTCTCAACAATAATAATTAATTTCAAAGCTCGTTTTACATTTCGCATAGATGATCGTTTATCAACATTTCCTTTGTGAGATCGCCACTACAGTAAATTGCGTTATGACTGAGAGGGAATTAATGGGCTATTAATGGACTCGTGCCCACGTACACGACAATGGAGACTATAACAATAAAACCACCAGATATACTTCCGAGCCAAGAACAAAATTTCTCATTGAGATAATAGAATCGTCTCTGTAGTCTTCATCAACCTGCCGCTCTTTCAGCTAAGGACCTCTCACACAGAGATCGTGATAATGAGATTATAAACCGTCCTTGAACTTGAGTCAATTACTACATGCAGCCACCATATGTTGGGCAAGTAGTAAAGTACTACCTAGAAATGGAAAATTCGCGCTTGGGAAATCAAAACATAAAACTCGTCAACGTTTCAATCTTTAAAGAAAAGGGCTTCGATTATAAAAAAAATCGACATTACGAAATGTTTCTTGATTGTTTGCAGCAAATCTTGGTTATGTAGAGAAAAAACCTGTCACCAATGAAGCTCTCATTTGATATTAATAAAATTCATATTTTGTGTATTTCATTTTACTGAACTTGCAAGAGATCCACCATATTGGAAATTACATAGTTCGCAATGTCTAGTTGTTTGTCATTTTTATCACAAGATCTCTCTTGAATAAACAAATGATTGACGCACTTTACAGTCCTTATTTCAATAATACAACGAGACATGTGGCCGTGGAAAACCAATATCCCATTTACGTCAGATGATATTTGCAATTTTGAATAATTTCCTTTCAAGTGTTCAATTCGTAGCCAGATATTTACAAGATAATAAAACTCTTTAAATACTTAGTCTAAGGTAAATTTGAGCAATATACGTCATGCATTCCTTCCTTTTAATTTGCCGATACCTAGCTATAGGCCATGCTATCGTAAGCAAATATTGATCGTGATTTCTGACCGAGCACAATTCTGCAATCGTTTTCCCTAAATACCGTAAATACTTTGATAAACGTCTTCCAGATATGGCTTTTTTGTTAACCCTCGTGACTACGGACCATGATTTTTCATAAATATTTTAAATCATCCGAAACTCTGCTAAAATAGAGAAGTCTTTCCTAAACTTAAATTCAAATCATGGGAAAAATTAGCGATATCTTTTGCTCTTGTGATTTACTTGGTTCTGGAAGAGAAGCAATTGAGAGAAATGCATACTTTTCTAGAAATAGGATATAAGCATACTTATTAAATTGGACTTAATACCAATTTTAAACTTTATCTAAAGCAAGTGAAAGATTTGGAGGAATACAAAGCATCCAGCAGTGATCACAATGAGTGGTATTGATTGTGATATGTTTACTGTGAAACCTGACTTAACCGACGTCATTACCCGTACC